TCGTGGCATGCAGGGCGTAGTTGGTGGGAGTTTCTGATGCATGTACTATTTTGATTTCATACAGGTGCATCGTCTGCTGACGGACGACCTAATGAGACGGCGACAATCGAGCGAATAGCAGGGTGTTTCGATCGCCCGCCGGCACTTCCATCGACGTACCGGTATCGTCAATACCAGAGGGTGGAAAGGAGGGCGACTGATTGCCGGCCCCCCTAGCTCCCCCGCAAATCCGAGATGATGGCATGGTGTCAACAGAGGGGGCACGTACTTCTCGTTGGCTGATAAGCGGCAGAAGCACACAGGCAGCCCGCTTGCGACGGCGCATCCTCTGAACGCGCCCAACGACGACAGTTGGAGATTGTAAGGGCAAAGGCCAGGCCCGCGTCGTCGGGATGAGCCCTGTCCGTCTGTTAGTGGGCTCTTGCGTCGGGGCGTCTGGAGCCAGTGGTCGGTAGCGCGGCAAAGATGTGGCGCGCCTTGGGCTTGATGTCCGACCTCCAGCCCTAACGGGCGTCTAGGTGCGGGCGACGGACGGCTTCGTGTGCAGCTGCTAGTGGATCGGGAAGTGGCCGAACCGATCTGAGCTGGAGCGCAAGACAGACCGGGAGGAAAGCCAAGCTTCAACCCGTCGAAGGTCAGGTCGAAGCAGACGCAGCGGCAGCAGCAGTGGTAGGTGCCGAAAGGCGAGATGATGGGCTGGACAGACCGACTTGGCGAGCGGAAGCGCCAGGGATGACGAGGTGCAGGAGGATGAAGCGCGGCCGAAGCAGGACGAAAAGAGGCTGTCTAGAGGCAAGGCGAGGCGATGCGGACGAAGTTTAATGGCGATGGGCAGTGCAGCGGAGTCGGTCGGTCGCGATGCGGTTGGATACGGACCGGCGTGGGTTCTGTTTTGCAAGTCGTTTTTTTTTTGTGTGTGAGAAAGAACACCCTGCAAAAAAGGAAACTCTGAGTTTAGTTTAGATTTGATGACTGCCTGTCTGCCTACTAACCTATGGCGCCGTCGTGGGAACCTCGAGCCATGACATGCCATGCCAAGCCCCGTGTCTCCTTGTGCTTCTTGTTGTTCTTGCCGAGAAGGGCAATGTTGGGCAAGTGCTCGGGGCCGAAGCGGCCAGCAGCGGCCAGCTACCAAGTCGCAATTTGCAGGAATTGCAAGGAAAGCGCTGCAAGACTACGGATACCTAAGTAAGTGAACCCAAAGCACACACCTGCTGAGCAAGTCGTGGGCCGTGCTTTCCCCCTCTTCGTCTTTGTCTTTCGCCTCCGCCTCGAGAGCAACGGAGAAGGAGCGGCGACGGCGACGGCGACGGCGGGGGCAGGCGGCAGGCAACTCGGTTAGCGGGGTACGTACTTGTGCCCGAGGGCAAGGCTCTGGCTCTCCACGTGCAGATAGATAATGGACAACGGCGCCTAGATAAGAGTACCTCCCTAGTAGTGTACGGATGGTACAATACGGAGTAGCCAGCACATACCAGGGCGGTACCCAGTACCCAAGGTACTTCGTGTTGATGGACTGAAGTCTGAAGCAGGCCGGTTCGGTCGAGCACGGTTTCGTATCTACCTACTACGTAAATAACCGGTTCGAGGTGTCGAGTATGGGCTGTACTATCACGTCTATGCGAGTGCGACGGTGTGGGCCCGCCATATTTCCCCAGACCCGAGAGACAATGGCCGTCCGAGGAAGACACTTCGATATACTCGGTACGTTTCTATCCGATGGGTCAGCCCAAACCCAGCCACCCGCGCGAAATATACCCCGTAAGACCTAAGAAAGCAACACGCATTTGCCTCCGATCGTCCGACACGGTGTCTCTGGAAGCAAAGTGAGGCATCCACGTAGAAAGGGCAGAAGAGGGGGGGGGGGGGGGGGGGGGGGGACAGTGCAGAACAGAGCTCAGCCAAGTGCGGGTAAGACGACGTAAGATTAGTTGAATAAGCCGGGGCGCGTAGAGCGTTTCCATCATCATCCACAAAATTAGGAACATGTGCATTCAGCTTCCTGGGTACCTACCTAGTGAGCATTTACAGTGTGGCGTCCAAGCTGGTAAAGAATGAAGGGGAGTAAAAACAGGTCATGGACACACACACACACACACACACACACACACCGCAACCCATGCGCGAGAACGCCCGTCAACAGTTGTCGAGACATCCAAGATAGACACCACACCACCCAGCTGCTGGACTCAGGACTCTGCCAAGTGGGCAACAAAACGCCTAACGCACGTAGCGCATCCACTGCGGCCACCCTGACGCAGCCTTCTCACACGCTCGTCTAACCTTACAAATCTAGCCAAGATAGGTCCCGGTTGCCGCTGCCTTTCGGATCAAGCATGAACAAGAAGGCAACGGGAATCCGTACTTGTTCAAGATGTCTTGGCAATCCCCGCGTGGTCGTTCGTGTATGTGTAACTCTGACATGGAGCTTTACTGTTCTCGTGCGTCTGGATTCTTACTCCCATGGCTGTCCCATGATACGGACTCGGGGCTGGGCTGGCAAGCACTACCGCACATCCGATATATGTATACTGATGACGGTAAGAATGTGGATACGGACCTTTGATAGACTCACTGTGATCTCTTACTCATAAGTCCATTCATGCAACAACAGAGTCTGTGACCGAATGTACATGGAGAAGATTTCGAGGGTGAGAAAACCAAGGTAGCGTCATTTCCGTGCTTTGCTCTACGAATAGGTACCTTGTCGGACCTTACCGTACCGTCCGTACCTTCTCTCCCTACTTACGCTTCCTGCCTCTCGTGGAGGTACCGGACGCTAATCCGATCATGGATTAGCGCCCGGTACGTATCTGTATACTTTCCGACTTTGATTTTCCCTCTTTTCTTACCCTTTCTTTTTCCTCCCCTCCTCCTCTCTCTCCTTTCCCCATTCCTGGTCTCAGTCATTCTCCTCGCATTTTACTCCGTCATATACCCGGGGGGCCACAAACGACACAAGCAACGACAGGGATTTCGATCCTTTCTTTCGACCTAGAGAGGGTTTCCATGCACTTTCCCTTCACCACCTAATACCGTACCTGTTGTTCCGCTGTCAATCTGGCCTGTGTCCGTACCCGTACCCGTGCGTCCCCTCGTCTCCGTTTTGGCGGGTGTGCTCTCCTCTGGGGCAATCTCTTTGCTGAACGCCGACTGTGTCTCGATTGAGACGACTAGCACCTAGGCCGTTGGATCCCGTCCCCTCTTGTCCCTCCACTCTTGTCTTCACCTTACCTATCCAGGCATCTTGTTATGCTGCAATGTAGCGGCAAAGGCCCCTGGTTTGAGGGAAACCGTCGGTCCTGGATACTTAGTACGTGTACTGCCCGAGCTGTCGTTTCCACAAGCTGATGCTCGAGTGGTTCGTCAAACGAACGGGCTTCGTTATTCTACCAACAGGCGGACCTGTATTTCCATCTTCACTAGGGATATCGCTGCCGGTGGGTGCTGCCTTTGGCGCTGCCAAGGGAACCGACGAACAATAAATCAATCATATTGCTGCAGGAGGGTATCCGTTGCTGCCGTCGCTATCCGGCCAAGCAGCCTACTACCCGTCGCCCGCATGATGTTTCGCCCTGGCCAGTGCTGGGCTAGGTTTGCTACGCAAACCTGCCGTCCCGACGTACTGGCTCCCGGCCCAACATTACCATACCCTGGGGTCCAATGTCCGCTCGACTAGGTATACCGCATCACGTTCCCTTTCCCGACCCACGCAACCCAGGTCTCGTCAGTCGTCTCCTCTACACGCCTACCGCGAAGCCTCTCGCTCACTCTTTGCCTGCTCCCGTCTTTAATCGTCGACTTCTCCTGACCATCGGTCGGGATCGAATCCGCTGCTCCCCCGACGGCTAACTCCAGGTCGCCAGCATTCGCCCCTGCGGCAGACAGGCCCGTCTCAAGCGAGGAGCCAGCGATGTCATCCGTCCTTTCTGATTCCACTTGCCTTGCCTTACAATGCCCTAGCGCGGATTTAGCCATCGCCCTGCAGCCGTCCCAAGCAGGGACGTTGAGGTACCGACTGGGGCGTCTTCAACATGGCTGCCAATGCTTTTGCAAGAAATGCTGGAGCCTATCGATCCCTTCCCCGTCCCCGCCACAGCCCCATGTCTTTCTTCACTTGTCGTTTGTGCCCCCAATCTGCCTATCGTCTCGGTCATCATATTTCCATGTCACTCTCTCACTCTTACGCCGCCCTCACACACACCTAGCAAGATACCTCCTTTTTGCGCTCTTTCGCTCTTCCACACACCACACTAGTCCCTCATCCGCGCTGACACGCCCCCCTTCCCCCGTCACCCCAAATGCTTCTTACCCACGCCTCCCCCTTCTCGCACGCACACTCCCTCACACACACACAGACACACACCCTTCTTCTCACACCCCTTGGATATACCCCTCTTCACACAATGGAAGGGGGGGGGGGGGGGGGGGGGGGGGCGCTCGTACCTTACTCTTCTCCATCCTGGTTACTCAATCCCATCTTCTCTTATTCCCTGAACCCCTGCCCGCTGTCTGGACTTGCCTCCATGTGGTGTAGCTTGTCCCCCTCGAACATGCTCGTCTCTCTCGTTTTCCCTCCTATGCACTGAGAGAATACGTCAAGAGGTCGGGATCTGGGCTGTTGACTCCACCATGCCATCTTTTTCACTGCCCACCTGCCATTTATAAGACAGTGCCCGCCTGGACCTGTGAGGCTGAGATCTTGAACCTTCTGGTGATATCCAAGTTTAGTATCCGTGATCTTGTTGAACCAAAAGCCTACACCCGGCAAGCAAGCAATCCTTCCTTGCCCAGTCCTTAAACTCGCTGCCTGATCGGATTGGGTCTCATTATAAGTTCATCTCGGTCTCCAGCCTTCAAACTCCGTCACTGGCTTGATACACGTGGACGACGCTTGGATATACATACAAACTCGCAGCAACACATCTCGACTTCCAACTCCCCCAAAAAGGCTCGCCCGTATGTGCCACCCAGACTTTCTTTCTAGTCCTTCTTTAGCAATGGTTTCCGGCTTTCCTGAGCAGGGTTGCGAGGACTCTTACTCACTTCCGCCCAGATCCAGAGCAGGAAGCCGCGTATCAGCTACTGCTGCTCAGTTCGCCAACATCCAACTAGTCGATTCCCCCAGAACGCTACCGTTAGAGTCCAGCCCCTCGGTCAGGTCTGAGGCTCTCCACTCCTCTGGCTATATCAGTCCCAACCCGCCCGGCTCGGCCACCTTCCTCCCCTCCCCCAACCCACAAGGATACTCGCCCTTCCCTCTGCTACCACCCGACATCTTGAATGCAGAGTGGAACGAGCACGAGGTGCATCAGACTTCGGGTTCAGCCCCTCTCGTCAGAGTAGACCCTGCCCAAGACTACTCCTCCAATCAGTCCTCTCCGCCACTTCTAGCCGAAGCAAGCATGAGGTGCGCTCCCAGCACTGTTCCACGCTGACCTATAGATGCATTCTGACATCCCTTTCTTTCTCTCCCAGCGCTATTGCTATGCAATTCGACCCTTCGTTCACTATGGGAAGCCGATCATCCTTCACCTGGCCTGGTAAATAACTTCCTTTGTCCTTCTTCTCATGTCCTCCCATACGTCCTAACACAATCAACCTGAAGGCCTCGATAACAGCGAATCCAGCGGGGCGCTACTAGGCCACAACCTCTCATCGCTTGGGCACGTACCAGACACCAGCCTCACGCCTCCCAGCGGATCCAGATCAGTAACATCGAGCCCGCCGCGGGGGACTCTGACGCTGGAGCAGCGAGAACTGAAGAAGCAGAGGGACATGGCACGCCGGGACTCGAAAACATCACAGCGCGTCAGGAGGGCGGGAAGCAACCCCTACGTCCACTCGCCACCACTCAGCCTGCCAGACATATCGTCAACGATGGGCGTCCCCATCTACACGACAGCACCGGCGCCGATCTCTTTGCTCTCAGAGCCAACAACAACAATGGGTTCATCATCGTACCTGCCGTCCTACAGCCCGCCTTTATCAGACCACGGCTATCAAAGCGGGTACCCCCCCATGGCCTCGGCCTACGGCATGGGTGGTGGCATGGACTACTCGCAACAGTTCCAACAACCAACACATTACGGGTATGTCAGCCGCAAGACGGAGAAGGGGTGAGAGACGTGAGACTGACAAAGAACCAACGCAGAAGCCGACCGCAGATGCCTGTTGGACAAGACCCAGGCATGATGTACGGCGTGCCACCTTCGATGAGCGGCGGCCCCGGAACCCCAGACCAGGGGCACGTCAGAGTGGTGCAGAGTCGTCCCAAACCGCAGTGTTGGGAGCACGGCTGCAACGGGCGCCAATTTTCGACCTTCAGCAACCTGCTGAGGCACCAGAGGGAGAAGTCTGGCCAAGCCACCAAGGCGACGTGTCCTAACTGCGGAGCCGAGTTTACGAGGACGACGGCGAGGAACGGCCACCTCCTCCACGACAAATGCAAGCAGCAGCAGCAGCAGCAGCAGCAGCAGCGCCGGAACACGTAGATATTGGTTGGGAGTAGGACGCCCGACTTGGGAACCAACCGAGCCAGCCGAACCAACAATGCAAGCAGCAAACGAGCAACGACCACAAAAGTCCCGTATACAGTCTGCTGCTCATCCTAGGGGGCGGGCACCCTTGCACCCCGCTCTCGACCCGTCATATCATTCGACATGTACATGTTATGGAGGAGGTTCTCCTTATTTTTCCCCCCTCCTTTCAGTAGGAGGGACCAAGAGGGAGAGAGACAGACAGGGGGCGCACAAAAACAACGCCGACGCGGCGACGGAGTCACATTAGCCAGTATTGCCCGAACTGATCTCAGCATTCGGCGCATCTTGCAGAAGGAGTTTTTTGCCGTGATTTTTTTTTCTTCTTTTACTTGATTGTTTTGCCCTTCAGTGGTTGTGTTGCTGGTTTTTTGTTTTTTGTGCTATGAATTACAGGTGGCGCTTTGATCTGATTTTAGTTTATTCCTCTCAAGCGCCGGATGAAGAACGGTACTCTCGGGGGCCTTGTCCCCGAGAGCACAGCAACGACTACCACTACAATAACAACAATAACAACGGCAGGAAAGGGGCAAGGGGGGGGGGGGGGGGGGGAAGGGATGTAATGTCATCGCCGCCCAAAGGCAACTTGGCCATTCTGGAAAATATACCCTTTCACTAGCGTCGCAAAGAAACGCATCTTTTTTTCCTTCCTGGTTTGGCTACACTTGGTGTTCGTCGCACTGCTGGGACACAGCGCTACTACTATCTGCCACTGCCACAATGGAACAACACATCAGGCTCATGCCTTGAATCAATGAAATTACAATCGACCACGTACGTCATGTCTCTCGTATATCGTAAGATAGAAACCTCCTTGCCCGTTCGATAGTTGGAGGCCCAGCACCAAGAGAATAGCATAAAATAAAATGACAATGAAAGAGAACAAAAAAAGAACTACGTGGGGAGGGGCTGGAAAGCTCGAGCGCCCGACCCCCCCCTGGCAATCTTGAAATTGAACTGGTCGCACCCTGCAGCCTGCAACGCCTGCTTCGTATACCAATAATACCACCAGGAAAAAAACAAAACTACATCGTACAAGCCAGAGCCAAGGCCGCAGGTGGGATAGCTGCCATGCCAAAACGATGGGAATACAGGTGGGGAGAGCAGGGCAGCAGGAGGGCATCCCGTTGGATGGCGGCCGCCACAATGCCGGGACCCTGGTTCGAAAGGCGGTCGCGGGCATACACCACACCCCTCCCAGCCCTTTGACCCAAAGGAGGGAACAATAAGCATCCCTGGGAAGCGTTACGAGATTTGGGCATGGGGAACCCGATTATGCGGTACTCGTAAATGGAACAGACAGATGGGGCAAAGAAAGTGAACTGCTCATACCACCGTACCGTTTTCCTGCACCCGACACCCTTCGGATCTTTTGGTAAGCCGGAGATACGACGGGCTGCGGAGAGTCGGATGTCGGATGGTCATAGTTTGGACGAAAAGGAACAGAGAGAAAGAGCGAGAGGGGGGGGTGGGGGGTACCGACGTTTCCAGCAACACGCAAACGAGGTCATAGCTCCTGGAGCGTCTATTGGAGAGGGACGCCTTGTTGCCTAAGCGCCAGCGCCAATTGAGCTGTGAGCCGGGGGAGGGCTCGTGGTGATGTCAAGATCAGTCCGGCGGAGTTTGGGGGCGTGTGCGCCTCATCCGGGTGTTGCAAGAGGAGAAATACAAGGGGTGGCCCCGGTTCCTAGCAATGGAGTACCACGGATCGTGGGTCCATCATGCCAGGAGACCGGCGGCGGGAGTAATTTCTAATCCACGTGTAAGTGAAGGCATGTGCTGGGACCCGGCAGAGGGCGACAGGGCCGTATGGCTTGCCATAATCCAGGGATCCAAGGCGACCAGGCACACACCATGTGATTTTCGAGCTTCTTCCCCGTTACTTGTACAAGGGGTCCCCTTCCCATCGCAGACCACATGAACCCAGGTCTCCCATGACTTGAGGAACTCGTGAGAGATCCCCATCTACGAGTCGTGTGCGCGAGTGTGCGAACCGGCAGGCAAAGTGACGGGAGCAAAGTTCGAAAGTTCGCTCAAAGGTGTCTGCCGCGCGCGACGATGTGGAGCCGTGGGATCGAAAGATGATTTACGGGAAGGACGGCTCGACCAGCGCGAGATTCGGCGTCGTGTGCGTACGTAGGGAGGGGCGAGGTGAGAGCCGGACGCGCAGATCGGACGTTGACGATGCGGGCCCCCATGTCGCTCCTCGTAGGCGTTTCTTGCTCTATCGACTGGAGCAGAGGCACCCGACGTTGCATCGACCGAGGTAAAAGCGACAGAAGTGACGGCCATGGAACCCAGGTGTGCAGTCCGCTTTGGGTAGGGTGATGAACTCAGCGAAGAACCGGAAGACGAAGCGAACGGCCGGGAGATGACAACCTCCCCCATCTGGAACGGTCGCAAGAAGGGCCCTCTTCAGCCTAGTCTCCGCAGGCGTTTGAAGACCCACCTCTCATGGCGACGGACCTGGGATTGGGTACCTGGGACCCGGGCTCAGGGCTCAAGGCTCTCCAGGAGCAACAAAACGGGTAGGGTAGCGATCGTCGCCGCAGATAATCCAGGCTCTGTCGAGGCAGCGCTGGTCCTGCAGATGGGTTGCTGGGGACCCCGCTGAAGCTACCAGCATGTCCAAAGTGCCTTGGATTAAAGTAGACAGAGGCACAAAACAAGCATGGCCCAAACAGAAAGTGAGAAACCCGGGCCTCGACGCTGGCCTAACGTATAATGAAGAAGGTAATAAGTAAGCAGCATGAGTGCAGGGCAGGGAGGCGATAGCATTTACCGGATTTGGTACTCCGTACTGTATACTATGTGTGCGGGTAGGTCCCCCCCAGCCCACCACCTTCCTACGCCCCCTCCCCGGTTGGGACACAGCCGCGATAGGAATAGGACGAGGTCCTAAGTCGTGGAGGTTCTGGGGGCTCCAGCAACCTATGAGAGCCAAAGGCCAATTTGGTATCCATCAAAGGCTTTCCGAGAGGGTGATTGGTTTCGAGGTTGTGGAGGATACACAGGCAGGGCGACCAGCGTCCATTTAGGCACTAAAATGAGGTCAAATCAACCATGCCTCGATTTCTCGTGACTTTGGAAATGACAGCTGGTTCCTCTGCCATTTGGGAAGCTCATAGCGGAACGACTGGGGCAAAGGGTATATAACAAGATACGATGGTGGCGGCGGTGCATGGCGGCTGTCATTGCTAGTGTAGTTAGCGGCGGGCGTCTTTCGTCCTTGAGATGACGGGGATGGCAACCTCGTCGCTTGTTTTCCCGCCACAGTTCTGTGTCTCTTGCTGGTTCGACGGCGACCACGTACGTCTTCGTGGGCACCTGCGACAAGTCTTGTCCATTTGGGTGAGTTGTTGCTGCGTCAAAGGCGTATTCAATGTGGGATTTAAGGAGCCCGGCTGCAACGTGGTGTGGTTGAAGATCGCGTGGGTACCCAGGTAGGTAGGTAGGTAGGTAGGTGTGCAGGGCTGGGAGACGGACGGGAGAGATAAAATCCGGAACATGATTGGTTGGCCCGGACTAATATGGGGTGAAGAAGACGGGGAAGCTACGGATGAAGGTAAAGATAGAGCGAGAGCGGGAAAGAGGGAGAGAGTCTCTTACCTGGAAGTCGCATCGCAGTCCACACCGGTGGGGGTGCGAAACGAAGCGCAAGTCCGCCAAGTACGAGTACAGAAGTTCCTTCCTGCTTTTAGTATCTGATGGTCCAGATGCAAGCAAGTAGCGACTGACTGGCCAACTGGATTGGCAGCCAAGCGACATCGGAAGAAGGAGAAATGAACAGCGGTACTCAACTTCAAACAACATACGGCAGCGAAATGTTTTCTCCATTACCACTTCCAACGAGAGACGTGTGCATATCCATCCCATCGGCTCAAGACCCCATACTGACGGGGGAACATTCCGACCTTCGGTCCCGAGCTTTCGTCCGAATCCCTGCTGGCTTCTGGCTTCCATCGATGAACCCAGCAAAGCCACCCCCTAGACCGAGTTTGTCGGTGTCTCTCCGCCCTAGGAGGGTGGAGATGTCAAGTCGCTAGCCGAAACTCTTGCAAGGGCCAAATGCTGCTACCTATTGCAACGTCAGCCTCTGCCAAGCGCGTATTGCTATGAAGCGACCGCATGGCTTGCAGGGAAGCGCTCCGGAAGAGCGAGGCGAAAAGGCCGAGAGAGCCAGGAGTTAATCGGCTTTTGCGGGAAGGGCTGGTGAGATGTATTGGCTATCAATGGTTAATGTGTAGGTGAGATACAGGTGAGCTGATGGAACCAGAAGTAATCTCTCGCAGCTCACCTGTGTCGAGAGCCACAGGCATATGCACCCACGTACGCACCGCAACTTGCAGCATCACATGATTGGACCAAGAAGCGAAGTTCAACGTCGTCGTAAGCCGTGCGCACGAATATTATGACCGCATTTGTTCTGCTGAACAATCAGTCAAACATCAGTTGCTCATGTTTACACACTATGGTCAGTCAGCTGCGAGCAAACACGCGCGTCAAACCCTCTGGGATTAATTCACTCTTTTCCCTGGAACCCCCATCCCAGGAGCTGACATCGATCCTCCGAAAGTCAACCCCGCCACGATGGGGAATGCAACCTTGCTCCTGTGCAGACCCAGCCAGCTAGCCGGCCAGCCTCCCCTTAGCTCCCGCTCGAGGCTCGCTAGCTACAGATAGAGATCCTGCTCATCGGATCGGGGCAGGCAGGGACTTGACATTCGGGTTGACGACCACCAGAAACAGACTCACCTGTGCAAATATACAACAGGGGCATGGTGGGAGAAGCGGGGGTCAGTATTGAGCGGTGGCCCCCGACGAGGTCCCCGATGAGAAGCAACAAGACAGCAGTACCAATTGCCTTCGGCCTTCGGTCTGAAGCAGGCAGAGATGGACGATCATTCCCCATTTCCAAGACCCGGCCTCGCATATTGTAGGGATGTTGATGTGACCACGGATGAGTGGACCGTCTATCTAGAATCTGTCTTTGCGGAGGATAGTTGATATGCCCCTTTAGATTTCGTTTGTCGCTAGAGAATGACAGTCTCGGCGGACGTCTCTTTCTACCCCTTGAGCTTCTTCGTACGTGCAGTAGGGGGAGGAGATTGCAGTCATTAGAGTGGCATTATATCCGTACTCCCCACATGGATACGTCGATGGACCCAATTGGTTTGCAGAGAGCCTCAAGCTTGCCAGTGGCAAAAATCGACCCCTAGTCCCGAGCGGTCGTGCGCCGTCGGCCCCGTCGCGCCCGTCGGGCAATATCTGCGAACAGAGAACGGGGGAAGGGGACTGGGTCATGGAGATGTCGGGAATATCGGTATTCTCCCTCCGGCCTTCATCTTGCGCGGGGCGTTATCCCTCGCCATGGGCTCCATCCGCAGCCACAACCGCAAGAAATGACCCGAATCCCTGGGCGCCGTCGGGATTCCCAAGACTCGCGTTGCAGATGAAAGATCGGAGGACAGGTCCCGAAAGAGGCTAGGAACTCGGCAAACACGATGCAAGTCTTTGCGACAGGCCAAGGACACCCGTCGGCTGGTGTAGTGCATAGGTATGAGCCGTATTTCTTGTTCACCCCCTCCCATATGGTGGTACGTAGCCAAGGTATGGGACCACGCGTCGTGCCCCTGAATAAAACGGCCTCATCAACCCAGGTTGCGAATCTCAAACTGAATCGGGACTGAGATCCACCATCGGGTTAAGACCACAGCCGATGTTCTCTGTGAGGCTAACATGCAGATTTGTGTTACGACTGCTCAACAAGGCAGCGTATGAGGCTCTCCCGACCGTTCGTTGCACACAGTAGGGACCGTAGGGACCGGGATTCCATTCTCGACCCATTACATAAGCTGTCGTCGTCTTCTCGTATGTACCCAGTACGTACCTAACTAGGTAAGTACGATGCTACCTACCTACCTTAGGTACGACTCCAGCGACCCGGTAAAGTAGAGATCCTTCCCAGGTCGGGGTTGCATCGGGATGACCCACCACACTATGTGGGCATGACAGCAGCTCTGAGCTGCCTTAGTGCTCCTCGCCCTGCCCCCCCTCTCATATTATTGGCTGGTATACTTGACGGTATGGTCTATCTCGATTCTCATTGGTTGTTGTGCGAGCTGCAACTTCATTCCTGCGAGACTTAACATGCAGTTGCTATTCGACGGTCGATACAGCGAAGTAGGCGCAGCAGTTTGAGTGAGACGTTGGAAGACAGATAACCTGACCCAGTGCCAGAATGTGCACTCCTGGGGTCTGTAAGAGCGATATCGAGTTTTATCGAGGCCGTGCCAAACCGATCTCATGTTGCGTTGTCGTCTTACTGAACCGCTGTCTGAAAAATCCAGCTGTCGTTGATCGTGTCTGGGGCGGCGGGCCGCCACCTAAGCAATCACTATCCGTCGCGCGCCTTTGCCATTAGAGGTTGCAGTAACCATCGCATGCTTCTGCTACTGCTGCTGCAATGCTAGAACGGGCAGCTGTCGTCAACCTGATTATATGACCCGGTGCTCGGCCTAATCTGGGCAAGTCAGAGTTGGATTGTGCGGCATTCTGTGCGTGCCGATATCAGCGCTTGTCATCAAAGACGCACCGGTACCCACCTCCAAGTCCTAGACTCGTCTCGTAAGGACAGGCGAGTAGTGTATTAAGCGCTCAAGAGGGAAGGGAGTAGCCGCTCGCCGGTTCGCGGTTCGCACTCGCTAAAGACCGAGACGCACTTCAGGCAGCAGGATTTCCTCAGATCCCAGTTGAGCGGTAAAAAAAATAAAAATGGACAAGCTTGGTGGCTTGGTTCACTGCCGTGCCGACCGGGAACATCCTATCGGCGGCCATCCACATCGGCCTGGCCAGACTTGCTCTTCCTTCCGGTCGTCTGGCGGCATGACGAACCAGCCCCGTGGGTCCCCCAAGAGGGCAAGGTCCATAGCAGGAACGGATAACGTACAATATAGCGGTGTGTCGTTATGAGAAGCATGGGCGCACTGTTATTGCTACTTAGAAGGATCATGAAGCAGCGGTCCCTGTCGACGGTTAGTGATTTGCGAGCGGGCGTCAGGGGAAGCTAGTCGAGCCGCGACCCCTACTCCGCGGGCGTACGGATCGCGAGGGTCACGATGCAATTTATTGATACCTGGGCACATGGTCAATGGGAAAGAATATATTCATAAACGACGGCAATGAAGACGTCATGCTGTCCCTGGAACACGATGTGATCCGTCCATATCGTTGATTTGCAGCAGTCGACGGAGTCAATAGGCGCAGCTGACTGACTATACCAGCCTGTACAAGCTTGATCACAGTAATTTAGCGTGGTGACGGTGGGGCTGTTTTGAATAACGGAGATTGATGAAGCAATGCCATCTTGGGCCTGGCCCTCTGCACTTGGCCAGACTGCGGATTCGCTGAGTCGCATGTCCCCGCTTAGAGGATAATGAGGCTTGATGTCCCGTGGAGCTATGATCGGCCATCGTAGGGGCCCCATTGAAGCAAAGGCGTGGCGAGTCGGTGTTTGAACCACTTTTTAGTTGCCTTTTTCAGGCCTCGATTCGTTCGTTGGTACCACGCTGGCCAAATCTCCCCAGATAGCGGGTAGTCGAGCTGATGATGCGCGATGTCGAAATGCAGAGACACATGGACGACGCGCGACCGCTGCTAGGGTTTGATTGCGTATCGCCGCAGCTGACGCAAGACCGTCTAATTGGTATGACCTTGTCTGTTCATGCTGATTGAAAGCCCGAGCCCATCAACAATCAGGTCCGGGTGTGGTTTCTCGGACGGTCCTGTGATTCCTCGTGGTGTTGCGCACTGATCTAGACGAAACGCAGTCGGTCGCCGCCAGCAGTCCGTTAGACAAGTGAGATACACACACGCGTGTGGCGGCAAGCGTGATGGCAGCTCGACCAGATCCTACCCTTTGATTCGTTGTGATGGACAGACAAGAGCGAGATGCTGCACCTTGACTTTGGGCAATCAAGCCTCTCTCCACCGTGTATAACTCCAGGGCCTCGACGCCACTCGGCCTTTCCGCCTCAACTGCTTTCTCTTGTCTCCATTGCATAGGGGCGTGCAAGTGAATCTTGATCCGTTGGCTCGTTACCCCACACCTGCCATCTGAAGACATGCTTCTATCCCAAGCGGTATGCTTGGCAAAGAATACCGGCTGCGGACAGACGTTTGAACAACGGCGGGGTTCGTAGCAACGCTGCTGAGAAGATATTGTTTGTAAGTCCGCAGTGACGGAATGATTGGATGTGGGTTTTTTCGTCTTTGTTCTCGTTCAAATTGGTTGACAACTTGGGGGAGACCCGATTTGAGGCCAGGATGCGACACAAGCAGACTCAATAGCTTAGGTACGAGCAGGGATACCGGGGAGGGGTCCGGCAGACAGGCGAGAGAGAAGGAGAGAAGATTTGAGGATAGAGGGGGGGTGGTCGTAGAGAGAGTAATTGACATGAAGGGCGTCGGTCTAGATGACCGGGGGGGGGGGGCGAGGCAATCAAGTATACTGTGTCGATGAACCGTACTAGGGGCTTTCTGACACATGGTGATGGACTTCCGCATGTACCAATAGAATCGCGTCAGCTTCGCTTCACCTGGCGTCCTTTCCAAGTCTGTCATGTGGACCAGAAGCCGCGTTAGCGCCAATCGCCAGCTACGAAGGAAATAAGCGCGTCGCTGCGATAGGCCCAAATCTTCCCTCCCAATTTTCGAAGCATCCAACACACACCTTAAGCGCAGCGCTTAATCAGCCCATCACCACCATCGCAGCCAGCCAAAAGTAAACACGACGACTCGAATGCTCAAGCAATCACTGCATGATCATATCGGAAGATAGACGACGCGACGCGGACACGACGAGTGTATTCCTCCTCCTCCCGTATTGAAACGTCGTCGTCGCCACCGTCGAGACTCCGCGATGAGACAGGTCTTGAATCCTTCTGCCTGAGCACATCCAAATGTGGACATCGAGCAACCATGGTCACCGCAATGAACGCGCCCTCCAGGTGGAGCGGCAAACGGCAGAACGTCTTTAAGTCTGTTTTTAATACGGAAATATTGCAGCCCACTCCATACTCGACACCATCACAGAGGTTCACCTCACAAGGTGACCTATTGGGCGGTCTACCGCCACCGCCGCCGTCATCACACCATCAGTCACCTTCACGCGCGCACTTCCCCGGCAACATCAAAGTTTCGAATCTTCAGAGCTCGCCCCCGCCAACTCATTCGCATCCGCCTTCTTCCGACCAGTCCAACGACCAGGTTAGGTGGGATCGAGCATGGCACGTGGTGACGACTCGTATCCAGCTGCCGCCATCGGTGGCCGCTGAGGACTCGTTCGGCACCTTGGCATCTGAGTCTCAGGACTACGATGCGGACTTCTACGACAGTCTTAATCTGGTGCTCCATCCATGGAAGCACGCTCAGCACGCTACCGCCACCGAAGACATCCTCTCCTGGCATACCCAGCAGGTTCGCCACCACTTTGCTCAACACGTCCTCCCCCTGCTGTCCGCATGCAATACCTACGGTGACCAGGCTCAGGTACTCCTTGGAAGTATACATACGCTGGAAGCAGCCCACCGCCAGTATCTCTATGGGCTATCCCTCATTGTGCGGGGCCTCGACAGCAAGCATGCAGACATTGCCGTTGACAAGTTCCGGCGTGATCTGCACGCAGTCATTGGCAATTCCATGTCACAGGCGCTCATGGAATCCCTTCGAGCCGTCTTTGGTCGCTTAACGAGGGTCATTCTGGGCATGCAGGCCGCACCCTCCCCCGGGGCATCTCGGGGGACCGGCTTGCAAGGGGACAATCAGGCAGCAGCACCATCCCCAACACCGGCAGCAGCAGCGCGGCAAGAGCTCTTGCAGTTGATTGAGGCGCTGCACAAAGTAGGCCTTGCCGGGGAGAGATTTCAGATACTATTCGCCGAGTTGATGGACTCTGTGATGATTGAGCATGTAAAAACATCATTCGCCGGCGTCTGGACGCAGCCAAAAGCAGGTGGCGGGAAGGATGCTCCAGGCCCCTCGTCGGTTTCTCGTGTGGCGAAGCTTGGCACACCTTCACGCTGCATCGCAGCACTATGCGATTGGGTCGAGAACCATTACTCGCGGCTAGCAGTCGAGGTCTTTGCTCGCCTCGGTAGCGGGGATATTGCTTGGGCCGACGTCGAAAAGTGGAAGGAGATCGCAGTCGGACGCTTGGCTGTCATGCGCATTCATGAGCTCTTTGACATTGTCCTGCAGTGGCCCGAGAGCAAAGGAGCTCTGGACGACCTCCGCATGGCCATCACCACACCTCAGCGACGCTTGCAACTGACGGACACGTTCTCGGCGGCCCTTCAAAAACGTCTACTGCACCCAGGGAGATCGACGCTCGATATACTCCGTGTATATATCTCCATGATCCGAACGTTCCATGCCCTAGACAATTCCAAAGTGCTCCTGGACCGTGTGGTGCATTCGCTCCAGCTTTACTTGTGCCAGAGAGACGATGCCATCCCCATCGTTGTTACAGGGCTCCTATCCAATCCAGACGACATCCGCACCGAAGCGGGCAAAACAAAGCTTGTTGAGCTAGCCGTTTTGCTCAATGATCCCTCACAGCAAAGACGTCCTGCTACGGACGAAGAAGAGCTGGACTGGGATGATATGGAATGGATCCCCGATCCTGTGGACGCTGGTGTGAACTACAAACGTCCCAAGTCGGAAGACGTCATTGGAACACTGGTCAATGCTCTGGGCTCGCAGGATATCTTTATCAAAGAGTTCCAGAACATCATTGCAGAGAGGTTGTTGTCCACCCAGGTCGAGTTCACCCAAGAGATCCGGGTGCTCCATTTGCTGAAGAAGCGGTTCGGAGATAACGCCTTGCAGAATTGCGATGTCATGATTAAGGACATCCAAGATTCAAAGAGGGTCGATTCGATCATCTCCAAGACGGTGAGGGCAGGCCACATCGGGGGACCTGTCCGGAAATCCAAGGAGCTTCCGTCGTACCATACGAAGATTCTTTCTCGGCTCTTCTGGCCAACGATGGACCGGGAGCACTTCATCCTTCCACGGCCCGTCGCCGAGGTGCAAGGGTACTACGATGGTGAATTCGAACGTCTGAAGTCTTATCGCAAGCTGACATGGCTCAATAACCTCGGAAATGCCACAGTCAACCTCGAGCTGGAAGACAGGACAGTGGAGAAGGAGTGCAAGACGTACGAAGCCGTCGTTATCTACGCTTTTCAGGAAGACGAAACCTATAAAGGACCGCTCCCTCTGCGCCGCACCGTCGACCAGCTTGAAGAGGTTCTCCAGATGGATGACGATCTTATACGGTCCGCCATCTCCTTCTGGGTTAGTCAGCGTGTCCTTCGTGAGATGGAGCCGGGCACCTTTGCCGTCCTCGAGAAGCTGAATGACGATGCCAATGGCGGGGCCAACCCCGCTGTACCTGGCCCGGATGAAGCCCCTACCACGGAGTCGGGTGATCTCTCACCCAAGAAGCCCAGCGCGCTTGATGCCAAGGAGCAGGAACGGCGACAGGTCTACTGGCAGTTCATTGTCGGTATGCTCACGAACTCGAGCCCGGCTATGCCGCTGGGTCAGATTGCCATGATGATGAAGATGCTGATCGCGGACGGGTTCCCGTGGAGCAACGAGGAGTTGCAGGAGTTCCTCGCGGAGAAGATGGCAGAGGAGGAGTTGGAATTGGTAGGCGGCAAATACCGCCTACTCAAAAAATGAGCGCAAGAGCTTGTGCTGTCCCTTCCCCGTCCGAGATAGGACCACGGCGGGTGGTGTTGGTTTAAGGAGCCCGGGGAACGATCAGAAACATGGCACAACTGTTAACTAGCCAAAGCCTAGAGCCGACCACGGCACGGTACCCCCGCATGTATGGCAGGTGAGATTGCCATGTCCAATACAAATTAGATACCCACCGTTTCCCAAGTCTCGTTCGATGTTGCCGTGATGAAGCGAACGCGAGGCCCGAAACGCCGCACCAGTTTGAGCGGGAGCAATCCACTTCCTGTCTTACTTTCCTCCGGCCGAGGGGCAAGTAATGGGGCGGACGATTCTGACAACCCCAAGGGCCGCAATCTCGGCCGTACCCAGTTGTCTTCTTGGCCCGGTGCGTGCAACGGCTTGGGAGAGCAGTTCCTTGGTTTGGGTCTTCTCGCAGATGATGCCGAGCTGGTGGAAGGTTTCGGAGCTGCGGCCCCCTGCGAGAGGCGTACTCTGTGGCGAATACGGACAAGATAATGATGGCGGCGGAGAGCGGATGGCTTCCGGGCAATCAAAACGTAAAGGAAACTTCGGTCCCGTCGGGCACGTCTTGTGTCGGTGATCCAGAAGGCGGACAAGAGGCTCTCGGAGTCCCAATCTGGATGAAAGATTTTTCTTTTCTTTTTTGTGTGTATCTATCAGGCCAATGATTCTAGTCTGCTCTGATTTCTTGCTTCCTCCATCAAGTATCTATTGCAGCTACCCGCCGCGTCCGCCCGTACTTTACCTATCAATATGAGAAAGTAGGTTAAGAGCATGAGTCTCCAGTAATGAACGGGGGATGGCATCAACGAATGCAGCTGTCCTCGTCCTATAGCCTCGACGAGATACTTCACCTATGCCATCCGTGCCTGGGACGTTCGCACCCCCCCCCCCCCCCCTTCCGGCCCAGACTTTACTCGGACATCGCGACTCCAATGTGCTGGCGACGACGGGTCTCTACCAAATAAGCCCGAGCGGAGTGCCCGGTGTCTACAGAAAGAGAGGGGGCAAAGACCAAGCCGTACAGCCGGCACGGCCGTCTGACCTCAAGCTCCAGGCCCCGGACGTGATATCGACGCGGCGCAGTACCGACGAACGGAAGCCCCGGTGCGCGGAGCGCCGTCAATCTCCTGAAACAACCGGCATCCCCGGCTTGGTCGTGTCCGGCAGCAGGAGCCTCTCCGACCCGAGCCAGCCATCGGGGGCCGATCTTGCCGATCCGACAGGTAGCAAGACACGCCAGGCACACGGCGTTCGGTCTCCGTTTCTCTTTGTCGGTAGCAAGACCGAGAGAGCCCTTCGACCACTCCCAGCGCTCTCAAAATTGCCTGTTCGGGCACGATCGGCTTCGGCGTCTGCCGCCCGACCTCGTCACCACCCACGCCCCACATCGGCACACATGTACGACATCGCATCCGACTCTCCCAATACGAGGGGGAGGAGGACCCGCGAAGATGCTGTGAACAACACGCTCCTGTCGCCCCGTTCGCACTCAGCAAACGCGGGGCGAGGTCCCCGCTCTTCCTTCACGATATCAACTCCAGGGCCTAGCTCCAACGAGAGAGTCGGACACAGGTCCAGGTCCCTGGTCATGTCGATGATTCGCCCTCACCGACGGGCGTGTCTTGTTCCGCGCCGACGTCGTACCCTTCCCGTATGCAAGATGTGGCGGTGTGATGCAAAGTTACCTTTTGTCAAGGACCCTTGGCGGTTCATCCCTTTTCTCGTGCTGAACTGCCCTCGATGCGCGAGGTCGTGTGATCGAGGCAGTCGTCAGAGACTACATCACGTCAGTGTTGGGCGAGAGAGCACCTCGAGGTACAACCGAATAGCCTGAAACAGGTCGTGACTCAACCAGAACCAACGTGAAATGAATCCCATCGGTTCTCCAAATATCAGCGTGGCTGGAATAAGTTGGAATAGCAGCGTTCCTTGTCGGTCCCATCACTTCCCCCCCCCCGATCCGCGGGTGCGGTGCGACAGCCCGGTCAGGCGCATTGGCCCCAAACATCACAGAGAGCATACGATCGTCTTCATCAGAGCATGTTGTTCTTACCACTATCAAAGTGATGGAGCGAAGGGAAGAGCGGTCCCTTTTTCACAAAAGAAACACATACGCGGCAATGTGACCGCGACCGTGAGCTCGTCTTGCACCCTCGGCCAACTTCAAATCTCTCGGGTCGATGCATGCCAGGATGCGTTCGTCGTCAGTCAGGATAGGTGGAGAATCAAGAGCTTGCAGCAGCAGCAGCAGCAGCAGCAGCAGCATGTAGGCGACGGCTTTGCCGTCCTCATAAGACCAGGATGCGGTAAAAGGTAAGCAACGATGCGAACGACGTGAAGGGCGGGCAGAGCAGAAAGCAACATGGTCCAGCGTCATCGGCCGGGGGTTCTCTGGCCGGGGGGCCATTCTTACTCTTGGCACAGCCAAGCATTATTTAGATATGGTTCCGAGTCAGCCGCCGTCATTACTGCCGTGGTAGTCGTCGTTGTCGCCGTGTTGGACCTGGCACCGGAGCCAAGAGAAATGCTAACATGGAGCCCTAATTAACCGACAGCTTCGGGAGCGTAAAATGCGCGAAGCTTGCTTGTTTGCATCTGCGTACTAGTATGCACAGCATCAGTACGCATGGGTGGGTGTTTTTGAGCAGGACAGATTAGTCGCTGCCGGGATGTCGCAACCAAGGATGGGATTTGCGTTTGTCGGTGTCTGCAAGCCGGCGTGCAAAAGAAAAACACAACAACCAGCATGGGCAACTAGACCTTGGCCCCAACTCGGCGGCAAGAGCAGGAACCAACGAGGTACTCATTCGAGGGGTTGGGCAATACACGCGTATAACAACCAGAGCAAGGCCGGGGCAACGATGCTTCTTCGTTTGCAAGGTTCTCTCGAGTTGTCAAACAACGGGGCCGACTTGCCGCATTTGTCGTGTAGGCCCGTCGTCGACGGTAAGGGTAGCAGTCGCGGAGAAAGCAGTTGGTCGTCGGTATGATTACAACCTTGCCAAGTGTCGCGTGGCCCAGCATTGTATGAAAGGGGCGGTGGTGGTTGTGAAGTTATGGGTTGCCGGCCTCGAAGGTTGTGCGAGCCATGTTCGTGGAGGACCACCAAACAGGGGCCAAGGGCCGGGGAGAAAAGGAGGTGATGATGCATCTTATGAGGAATCTTGCAACACGTTTATGCTCTCTCTTAATGGCCTCAAAAGAGTGAGCGGCACCGACCGCCGACAGGCAACACAAGCGCAAGGTTGTGCCATTTTGTTCGCGGCCAACGGCTCTCCCACCTTGATCAAGGGCGGACGCTAATATTGCCAGGGAGCATGTGGGCTGAGTTGGCGTCGAAAACCTTACGAGCCCCGCGGGGTCTTTCTTTTCTCTTACTCCCCCCTCCTTCTTTTCTCTGTTTGAGGCTCTCAGATGGGAGTCAAAGTCGGCATGGGCCCGGAAAGGCAGCTCAATCCGATGACGGACGGTGTGCATGGACGGTGGACGACGGGAAAGTCGGAACTGATAAATAGAGGGCGGCTGTTTGGGGAGGAGGGGAGGAGGGGGGGGGGAAGAAAGCCAGCCATGCTAACCAACGGTGCTCGGCTGTCTTCATCACTACTTGTACCTCATACCGACTGACTTTACCTTGCGGTTGAAACTGAGAGACTGTAGTTGTTTCAACTGCGTGGCGACAATCCCAGCCCGACCGGGTTCGAACCGGTCCCCCATAACTGGAGCTTGACCATGGCGTTTCGTGCAGCAAACCACTGCCGATGGAAAATTTTGCTGGTCATGAGTACGAGATAGAGAGAGTGTGTGTGAAAGAGACAGTGAGAGAGACAGTGAGAGAGACGGTGAGAGAGACTTCCGAAGGGGTGTGTGTGTGTGTGTGTGTGAGTGTGTGTGTGAGTGTGTGTCTTCCACCAGCATGGACAATAGCGCAGCGAGATAGACAAGGACTGGCACGCCTGGCGGGCGACGGCGTTCCTGACTCGACTCGAGCAGTGCCATGGTGTGTGAAGTGATGCATCCCTGGAGACATGGCGGAGCCCTGCACAGCAAGTGAGATGAGACGAACGTCTCAAGCAAAGATGAGGGCGCTTGACGGTGCGCAGTACTACATACATAGTACGCACACGAGGTAGGTAAGTCCGCGTACAAGTGAAGTGAGAAGAAAAGGTTCGAATGGTCAGGCGATGAGCCCCGAGTGGCAAGGAGGTGGGAAGAAGGAAGAGGAGGCAGAGAGAGAGGCCAGTGAGTGATAGACAAAGCAGCGGGCAAGAATGGTACGGGTAGCGTCGAGCTTGGCCGGTGTGCACCCACGCACCCTACTCCGTACATACTGGTAGTACCTAGGCTGTATGTCCCTGGGTATCTTAGCGCGAACCAGGGTTCGAGAGATCGTCGCGGGGATGTCGCTGCATCGAAAAGCGAATGGGAGACGAGTTTGGAGACCAAAAAGGCTTCGAACCAATCGATAACCGACCGTCCTCTCCTTGGAGCTGGGCCGCCGTCTCGAAGTAGGGGCACGGCCGGGGGTCCTTTTCCAGCACGAAGCCGCGGGGTCCCTGTCCCCTCCTTTCCCTCGTGTCTGACAATCCGCTTCTCCGGAGGGGGAGGGGGATGGGGAGAAGAGCTGGAACCAAGTGATGACGTATAATGCCGGCTGGGATGCTAGTGTTATAGTTCGGGGGAATGCTACATGTACGGGGTTCGAACGGTGAGTATACACCATCCGTACTACCTATGCTATAACAAAGGCTGGGCAAGATGGGGATGCTCGAGTCGGGCGTCCACGGGCGGTGAGAGGAGAGGCAATGATGTGGTGGTAGCTAGTTGACCGCGATGGCTGATGGGCTGAGAGCTGATGGCTGCTAATGCGGGCGAGGCAGCATGGCCGGAGGCGGGTACGTCTCCGATGTGGTGGCAGCGGCTGCTTGTCAAAGCGCGAGCCGGCGGGCCGGGAACGAGGTCGAGTATTGGTGATGCTGCTGCTGCTGCTGCTGCTGCTGTTGTTGTTGTTGTTGTTGTTGTTGTTGTTGTTGTTGTTGTTGTTGTTGTTGTTGTTGTTGTTGTTGTTGTTGTTGTTGCCGTTCTCATTTGTTGGTTGTTACTTGGATCGGTCAGCTGCGAGGTGCATTGTCAAGAGGCGGTGCGAGAGTTGCATAAGCTCCGATGGCCACAAGCATTGAATCCGACGGGATTCCATTGGGGGTTGACGAGAGGGAGGACGGCGGCATGAAGGGCCATTTTAAAATCGGGATGGCTTGGGTGACGGAATAAGCTTGCAAACGAGACAAGTCGGAAATGACAGGGTTCCAGACCGCATGTAAGTCCAGGGTCTCTCTCCTTCTATCGCCAATGTTGAATCAATCCGCTGGTTGAGGACGGGGGGAGAAGAGACAAAGAGAGGAAGAGATGAGACTCCTCTATCCGTAGGTATCTACAAAATCCATGGTACGGATACTATGTATATTAGTATACCTACTGTATCCATGTACAGATACAGCACCGACAACGACGACGACGACGACGACGGCTGGCCAAGAAGCTCCGATGCAGCCGTGTCTGTCTGTGTGCTGTTGGATGCAGGGCTTGCCGTGAAGACAGACAAGGGTACATGGAGGTGTTAAGACGCTCGCCATGTATAACGTGCCGAAAACGTGCTGGTACTGCGAAAGGCTCGTACATCATAGTACAAACTAACTGGGAGGATCCGAGTTCTGGAGGTCCCCTTCCGTGAACTAACCAACACCTGACAAGCCGCCTGACAATGGCAAAAGCCTGCCTTGGTTGGTGTGTGCTGGTGCTGTGCTGGCCACACCTTTGCCCGGCCTGCCACCGCCGCCGCCGCCGCCACCACAATCACAACCACCGACCGATCGACCGACTAGGCAGAGGGGGAGAGGGGCGCTCGCCCGCTCGGGGTGGCATTACACGGGGTCGGGGTCCCAGACACACGCTCCCGCACACCGGAAGCGATACCGCATCGGGCGCAGCGTCATGTGAGAATCCCGCGCGCCCAGCGTCCTACGCCCCCTGAGACGCTGGACGAGAGAGCCCGGCTTGCGTCTGTGGTGCCACCAGAGGAAAAGGGCCAGGTATGACAGGGCTAGCACGGGTGGACGGATGGTAGGTTAGGGGCCACCAGTCACTTTCCTGCAAGCCCAACCAGCCACGCTGCCCTGCCGTGGATGAGGAGAAGACGAAGACGAAGAAGCAGGAGCAGAAGCAGAAGCAGAAGCAGAAGCAGAAGCAGAAGCCAGGGTGAGCGAGCCGTGAGACAGCGGCAACAGCAGTAGCAGCGAGCAAGAGAAGGCGGACGTGAATGACGATATAAGTGCCTAATAATGAGCCAAGTTTTGACGGGGAGTGCCATGGGTGCTGAGCCTTATCTATTTATCTATTGATCCCGACTAATTGTTGCTCCCCCGTCCACGAACGAGGGGGGGTATGAGAACGGAACATGTCTTACTAGGACCGGCCGAGTTCGCGAGGCTCATGTGAACAGATCTGAAATGGGCCTGAGCCTGAGCCTGCTTGCTTGTTAGTGTCGTTGTTCTGGCTCAGCACTGGATGCAAATAAAATGTAACCTAGACAGACTACTGACACACCCATACCATACCCTCCTTATCGGAGACTCCGTTTGGTATCATCAAGTATTGCGTTGAGTGAGTGCATCGCGGACGTTTGCTTTGCCTCATCTCCGGCCTCTCTCGTCCACTTTGCATTGATTTATTGCATTCCCTGCCCGTCTGCCTCCCTGTTTGCCTGGTTCTCGACACCGAGGGCTGTTAACGGAACCTTTTCAGGCACAAGAACAGAATGTTTCGTCATTGGAAGTCAGTCAGTCAGTCTCACACAGTATGAGACCCGTGGGTCCATGGCGGAGATGGGGATGCGTTTGTTTGTTTATCCGTTTTGTGTTAGTTTTACGAACGAGATTTGTATTTGGGGGTGACTCTGTTGGCCTGATCGGCGGGCGGCCTTGACGCCGGTTGCTTTCGGTCCAGAGCCCATAGGAGAGAGAGATCGTCTAGGAGAGATCGTCGGGGTTCGAAAGCATCGCTGCTGGTGGTGATGGACACCACGGACAAGTATTGACTCTGGCCGTGGCGATGCAACAGCGCTTCTTCTCTCTGGCCTTCCTTTCCCAGGCCTCCAGCCCGCTCGAACAGGGGCCCCGAAGGATGACGACGACGAAGACAACGACGACGACGACGACGATGATGATGATGATGATGATGATGGTTACTCTTTTCCTATGACAAACTGCTTGTTCGTCGTCTATTCGCCCCCCCCAGCCCTGCCGAGAGTTCTAGTCCGGGGGAAAAAAGAGAGAGAAAACGAGGCAGAAAAAAAAGGCCACATGCACACCTACACAATGAGAACTTACCGTCCGTCCGTCCAGGTGGCATCTGCATCTGCATCCGTCGCCAATTCTGGGTCGACTGCGATACCGGACTTGGATGGTAATGGTTGATGGATGGATGGTTCAAGGGAGAGAGCGCAGACCTTGCTGGTCCCCGGATAGGACAGGGCAGGACTGGGCAGGACAGGGCAGGGCCCCAAGACAAGACTCACCATCATCATTATCACCATCCATCGTAATCAAGACGCCTGCCCACCGCCACCATCCACTCGCTCTCTCTCTCTCTCTCTCTCTCTCTCTCTCTCTCTCTCTCTCTCTCTCTCTCTCATCCTGCCCTTGTGACCCCGCGGGTCTCGACACAGACTTGGGCGTATCACCCGTTGCCTCTCGCCGGCGGCCCCCCCCCCTGTGGGATTCGAACGGAAGCTGCCTTTGCCGCCGACTATAATCCGGACCCCCCTCCGGCAGATCCGAACAGACTCCCTTCGCCCAAACGCACCCGCTGCCTACCCGGGTCCGGTAAGCCCTCTCGTCCCTCTTCCACGTTGTGGCTTCTCACCGCAGACAGGGCATTAGCCAGCCGGAGCACAGTGTAAAAGGGTACCCTCAAGGGAGGGGAAGGGAGGAGAGGGGAAGGGCAGGGAAGGGGAGGGGGCGAACAGGCGAGAAAATCAGCAGCCAACCCACAGGCAAGTGACTTCCAGAGCACAGCAGACTGATGGATGTCTTGGCTTGGTTTTCTGCCTCCCTGCTGAATCGACAAACAAGGGCCTGCGCATCTAACCCTCGCCCAGCGCAGTCGGCGTCGCATGGCATGCCCCTCCAAAGAAACGGAGCCACGCATCTGCTGGGGCCGAGCCTGTTTACAAGTGGAACGTTGACGTGGGAGGGAGAGAGTGAGAGACCGCTGCGAACACTTTGGTCGACACTTTGTACATGGGAGGGGACGGGTCATCGCACAAGGTAATTGTGGTGTACATTGATTGATTGTCTGACCGTATTAGTAGACCGACATCCGCATCCGTATCCGCATTAAAAACAGACACCTTGCCAGCACCTGCATGGCTGCCAACGACAGTTAACAAAAACACAGCAGCGCATCCATCAGCCTCGCTCTGCGTCGTCAGACGGCGCCGGCCATTTCCTACCGCATCCGCCCGGCCAGTGCAGGCCAGGTCAAGCCGAGCTTCCCTGCCCTGCCTGCGATCCGCTGACGCTGCCTTCACCGTCCCGGACCACATCCCTACAAAGCCAGCCCATGAGCCCCCCCCCCCCCCCCCCATGTCAGCAGCCCCGGGGTACGTTGCTCATCATTTTGCACGGATACTAGGTAGGTACACCGTGTACTGCTCTTGTTGAGCCTGGGTCTCGCTTGGCTGGCTGGCTGGCTGGCTGGCTGGCTGGCTTGCCCGCCGGTACCCGGGTCTCATTCCCTATGATGAGAGGTATTTGTAGTGTACGATGACTGATGAGAGAGAGAGAGAGATGGGCATGCATCAGTATCCATCAAGTCAAGTGCAAGTACAAATGCAAGCGCAACATCAAATACGCAGCAGGTATGTATGTATGCCCGCCTTCTCGCTCCGATTCCGACTCTGAGTTAGGATCGGCCTGATCTGATATGGGGACGACTGGCCCTGCAAATCTGGTCCGCGCTCGCGCTCATCTCTTACCTCTGAGTCTACTACGGAGTACAGACTCTGACTCTCTCTCACTCTCTCACTCTCACACTCTCTCACTCTCACACTCTACTCTCACACTCTCTCACCCTCACTCTCACACACACACACACACTCTCTCTCTCTCTCTCTCTCATACTACCTGTACACTCCCCCCGTGCCGTGTGATGTCCTCTCACAGGAAGGTAATTCGCCGTCTGGGCCCCCCCCCCCCCTATGGCTCCCAGCCCCTCCCATTGGGTCACGTCTGCCGTCTTCCCAGATGGGGCGATGCATTGCCATGCTACAACGCCCTGCCCATGTTGCGTGCACTGCTGCTGCTGCTGCTGCTGCTGCTGCTGCTGTACTTGGCTTTACGGCACTTTGCTTCACTGTCTTTTGGTCCCGGATGCTCCAGTCCGCTCCAGCCCAGCCCACTCCAGCCCACTCCACGCCAGTTCAATCCGTTGTTCCTGGACAAGCAAAGGCAAAGGAAGCACTCCGGGCCCGGCCCAGCCCAGCCCAGCCCACACGGTTACAGTACAGTACGTACGAACAGTCATCTTTCTGCCCTGCAACGACGGGCGTGGCCACGGCCATGGCCAGTCGACATGGAACATGGTCATGGACTTTATTTTTTGTCCCTCTCTTCCTACCCCCTCCCGCAGGAGAGGGGGGAGTGCCAGTGCCAGTGCCAGTGGTAATAGTAGCAGCAGTTAGTCTCACTCAGTCCAGTCATTTCAGTCCAGCCGGAACGATGCAAGCCAGGCCAGGCCAGTCCACTTGTTGTACCTATTCGGTCTCGTCTTGCTTGGTGTGTGCATGCCTTTACGGTTACCTCTCGGTCCTGCTCTTTGCACATGGACGCCGCATTCACCCCCCTCCCCCCCCTTCAGAGTGCCAGTTTTGCTCCTCCTCCTGAGGCCCAGGTGAAGGTGAGGAAAGCCGGTTTGAGGTTTGAGGTGGGTTTTTTTCTTCTCTCTCTCTCTCTTTTCGGCTTTTTTGCCTTTCTGGCTCTCTCTCTCTCTCCCCCCTCTCCCCTCCCTCTCTCTCCCTCTCTCTCTTAGACGCATACGCAATGCCAATCTTAGTCTCACTCTCACTCTCACTCTCACTCACCTGGCTCGCGGTGCCTTTCCCGGCCTCGCCTTGTCGTCTTTTCTCCCTCCGGGCCCCATCGACTTCTCTTCCCTTTCCTGCACCTCCACCGGGGCCAAACCAGACCTTACCCTGCCTGATAGATAGATTAATTGATTGATTTGCTTGCCTACCTTGCAATACTTGACCCGGCCTTCCCTTGCCTCGCCTTACCTCACCTCACATCACCTTGCTTGGCCTCCAAAGCAGTGGTGCCTGGTGTCTGCTGGTCTTTGGTGTTCCCCAAGGTTCCTTCCTTTTGGCCTGCGACGAAATACAAAACCAAGACGGCCTGCCCACCCCTCTTTCTTTTGCCGCTGCTCCCTCCGTCGTCTCTTCTTCTTCTCCCTTCCACCACCACTACCACCACCGCCGCCGCCGCCACTCTTCCAACTCATCGTCGTCTCACCGGTATTCTTCTCCTCGACACCCATCGACGGCTGTTGAATCTTCTCCCGTCTACTCAACTCGCCTCGCCTCGGACCGACTTGACTCGACTCGACTCGACTCGCCTCCCCTACACCCCTTGCTCGGCAGTATCGGCCTCAACGGCGTATGCCGCCTGAAAACGTCCAGACACACACCACCACCCCTCTTTCGGTCAGACAGTCCACGCCTATCCTCCTCACTTGACCTCATTATCCTCCTCGTCACACATTAATACTCGTCAACGCATGCTGCATGCCACGTACATACCTGAATACCATATACACGCATATAAGGTATCCTTCGGCCACGATCCCCCCACCTTGGACGACTCTCACGCACAATCCTCTTACACGCTCCTCCTTTCATCCCTACTATTCCACCACGCTGCGACAGCATAGCGAATAAGCGGAACAGCGACACAGACCGCCCTTCGGCACGAAAATACAACAAAAGTGCCTAGCCGTCGTTCGTGTACATTCTGTGCAGCATTGAGAGTCCACCACTCTTCCCCCAGCTCGCATCTTACCCGTTACGGCCAGCCGAGACGCCTGCATCCCACTCTTTTTGCGAAACCCCGACCAACTGCTGAATGCGGCATGATCCAGCGACCCAGCTCTGTGTCTTAACAGCGCCCTCCCCCCCTCCCCTCCTCACTCCCTGACTCTTACGCCCTGAGTCTGCGTCACTGGTGCACCGAATCTGGGATTCAACCTTCTCGGCTTCTTTCCCTGCGACGTCCCCCTGTGGAGGACCAGACCTATGCCGCAGGTCCTCGATGGGTAAGCAAAACGACCAAGTCTTGAGAGCTTCCTCCTCGTATCTGATTACCACCGACCGGTAAAAAGCAACGGCATCTGCACAAACCCCCTCCGTTCACGTCAGCTTCACCCACGTCCGCCCCTCACCTGGTCAGTCCACAAGAAAGCTGCCAACAGACAATCGCCCTGGCCCTCCCCCTGCCGTTGTGACCACAGACGCATCTCGGCACACTGCTCGCCTGTCCAACACCACCGCTCCTGCCGATCGCACGAATAAATCACGCCAGGATAAAGAAGCAAGCAAGCAACGTCGTAAAAGCTGCATGTGTACAAGGGCATTCTGTCTATGAAACAGGACTGGCTTCTGGGTGAAAGAGAGAGAAAGGCTGTGGCTATCTGTTGCAGGCAACTGCGACTTGACCTTGAAGTTGAGGTTCTGGATACAGCCCGGCAGTCATTCTGCAATAATAGCAGCAGCAGTAGGTAGCCTTTATCGCCATGGACGAAACCATGGACTACGCATATCACCATCAGGAGGTCCAAGGCCAGGCGCAGCTCCCATACTCGCAACAGCAATCCCGGTGCCCCTACCTCAACCGAAATGAGCATCATCAACAACCCCCCAACGCGCAGCATCAACAGCCGCAGCGCTCGACGATGCACTACGACCCTGTCCACGCTTCTGCAAACTACTGGCACCCCCAAGGACAACCGCCTTCCTACCACTGGCAGCCTCACATGCTGGGTCACCGGCCGCAGCTGGTGCCCCAGCATCGATCTTCGAACTCGGCCTCGGAACCTCACTTCTACAATCATGGACCAGCCTCAAGCTTTGGCAACCCACTGGGTGGCTATCCGGGTGCTCCCACCACCGAGATAGGAGGCCCCCAGACCATGCATCCGTCCTTCTCCCATTCACAACTTCCTCCTCCCGTAAGATACGGTCATTCAACGCCCCTGGCACCCTCTCAGCCGACCACGTCCCAGCCCTTGTTCGCCCCTGAAAGGGCATTTGGGCAGAGTACAGCATCCCGCACCGGTGCCTTCAACGCGCCTTCACACTCTCTGAACACATCGACACCGTCCCTCACACAAGACTCTTCAGAGCCGAGCGCAGAGCCTCCACGCCCAAGCCAGACCACAACTACAGAGTCCACAGGCACTGCGAACCAAGCGCCTCCTCCCAGTACCAGCATCCAGTTTGGATCTGCTCCGCCTTCGTCTGCGTCCCAGCAACACTCGCCTTTTCCCCTCTCACCGTATAGGGCCCATCGCTCTGCCCCTTCAGGTGAGATGAACGCAGTGGTATTCAGCAGCCTGCCATCTTATCATACTCACGCTTACCCAGGGCCCTCCTCCACCACCTCCACCACCACCCCAACCAGCAACTTTTTGCCTCCGAACTTGCGTCGAGCCCCGGGAAACCCCCGTCGTACCATGTCGCGAAGGCAAAGCCCGCCATCCGATGGCGATATGGACTCTGAAAGAGAGCTGAGGATGGTGGAGCAGGTCATCCACGCAAGTGGGAGCTCAGGTCGGCTGGACGGCGACCACTATAACATGGACCCCGTCCGCGCAGCTCAGTTCTTGCGTGGCTCGGTCACGACAAAGTACGTGGCATCGTCATCGGCCATACAGTCTCTCCAGAGCGTGCCGATTTCGGATCTGCCCGAGGGCGAAAGGAGTAAGTTGGCGTAGTTCCCAATGCGTGACGAGGACTAACATGGCTGGCCAGCTTGCGTCATCTGCTATAACGAGTACGGTGTCGAGACACCAGAAGGCGTCAGAGAGGCCCCGTTGCGGCTGCCGAAGTGCAAGCACGTCTTTGGCGACCATTGCATCAAGAAGTGGCTCGAGGACTCGGACAGCTGCCCCTACTGCAGAGACAAGGTGCCCAACGAACCCCGGATCACGTCAACGAACCCCAACATCAACAACATGCTCCGAGCCCGTGGCCAAGTGACCCTGGGGGGATACGCCGGGTTCATGAGAGAAAGGGATGCCAGTTTGTCACATGATGACTCTTCCCGGCTGTCGGCAGCCGCCTCGGGCCATGGCGAGCGTCGCTCGCCTCCGACAGACGGTGGCGAGAGCCGGCGCAGGATTCGGCCCCGGCATGGCACCCTTCGCGGACCCGGTTCCCCGCCTTTCTCCGGCGGCTCGCGGCCGGGATCGTTCGGTGCTTCCGCCGCTAGCCACGAAAACAACCGGAGATCGCATGCAGCTGCCGCCGCGAACCGGGCGTACTTGTCGAACACGAATATGCCGCCAACCCGGACGAACCACGGCTCTGCTGCTCAGGTCTCCTTCCCGGGAGGGAACACGTCCCAGTACCAGGTCCCCAGCTTCGGCTTGATAGAGCCATCGTCGGTAACGCCGTCGATGCCGCCCTACATGCAACATGGAATGCACCACGGCAGCTCTCACGGTACGCACGGCGCCAGTTTCCCGAATCCCTTGAACCGAAGCTCTCTGCCGGCGCCTCTCCCCAGTGCTTGGGTTTCCGGGCTTCCTCCTACGTCTGATGACTCGCAGCGGCGTGTCATGCCCGGTGAGGGCGGCGCCCAGCTTCAGGCCAGCAATCAATGGGGGCAGCAGTAGCAGCGGCCTCGGCGACGGGTGAAGAAGGCTCGGGACCGATGATGGTGCTTTTTTTCCCCGGCCCTTTTGACGTTCATCCTATTTTCTCTCATACGATAATTCAACGACTTGGTATAGTGGTTTTATGGCGGGTTTGGTTTGGCGTTGAGGAATTCACAGATCCCTCACGGCGTTGGTTTTTATTTTCTTTTATTTTTTAAATACTTCTTTTCTCCCCCCCCCCCCCCCCCCCCCTTCCCCCCGTCTTTTTTTTTTTTTTTTTTTTTTTTTTGCAGTCACTGGCGTTTTGGAGCATGAGGACAGCAGCATCGCCAACATCATATAAGGTGGTATGATTGAGAATTTCGACTCTTGACAAGGTCGCAGCGTTTGGAGGGCGGAACATATTGTTTTTTCTTCTTCTTTTGCAGACAGACGACACTAGGGACCTGGCCTGTTTCCAGATGGTCATACATTTCCCCAGGGGAGGACCAGCAAGCGGATGTCGTCAGGCTCACGAGGCATAATTCCACGCGGACAAAGTTGTCGCCCACGAGCACGGCGGGAAGCGGCATGGTATGCTAGTCCAGATAGTCAGCGGATGAAGAATACATGGAAATATCCTACTCTACCACGCGCCAGGCTTTCACGGACGAGGCCAAACTCGACGTGGGAGCTGCCACCCCGTCAGAACAAATGAGTTGAACTGTGTAGTCTCGGAACCGTGACAGACTCAAGGGGGGGAACAGGGGCAAAGTACAAGGGGAAGTCTGGTGCGTATGAGCCCCGAAGTGGTGATTCAACGGAACTAGGCCAGGTTGTCTGCACGAACGGGGTCAGGAGACGAGTGGAAGGCCGTCGACTGTCGTGTAAAGCGAATGCGAATGCTTGAGCCACATTGCTTTGCTCCCTCGTTCTTGGGGGGGGGGGGAGAGAGAGAGAGGGAGAGACAGAGAGAGAGAGAGATATTTACCCGCACTAGCGTCGTAGGATTTGCGGCGGGAAGGAAGGGTTCTGGCAAGGAAAGGGGGTTTGGAACGGCACCGATTGGTGGCCTAGAGGGGGAGAGGGTACAGGCGCATTGGCGGTCTGTCTCTCTCTCTCTCTCCCCCCTTTTTTTCTTCTTTTTCTTTTTTCTTTTTTTCAGTTTTCGGGTGCATATGTCGATCGATGTGCAGTGTGGTGATGTCGGCTTCTTCTTCTTCTGTTGTCTTTTTTTGTTCTTGCCTGTATCCTGGCCTTCCCTCCCAATGGGGAAAGGCGTGGCGTTGGGATGTTTTTATTCCATTTCATTCTGTTTGGAATACATGCTGTCTTATGTTGTTTTCTTCTTGAGACGAAGACGACGAGTGAAGTCGGGTATGCAACGGAACAAGCAAGCTTTGCCCGGAAACGTGTTCATTTTTAGCATCATGGGATGGGAGAGGGGGGAGACGAGGCGAAGCAGGTGGCGAGAGAGAGAGAGAGAGAGAGAGAGCACGACGCTCACCCCTACGCAAAGGCGGGATACGAAGGCGTAATACGGAGGCTGCGTGTGCTCTGCGGTCGAGGATGGCTGTGACTTTGTTTGGGATCGGGTGCCTGTGTGTTTGTTTCTCAGTGTGTTTCCGACATTCCGTCGCGTTTGCCCCCTTCTCCTGCCAGTTGCTTCAGCCAGCCACCGTCCGTCCGTCCGTCCGTCCGTCCTACGTAAGATAGATGTGCAGCTAAGAGATATACGGATACCTATACTCCGTACTCCGTACGGATATCCCAGGGGACTCGGAAAGGTTGATCTCGAAGCAAGGAAAGGGAGCACAGTCCACGTGGTTGAAACAAGGGTAGTAGGCCTTGCGGCTTCGAGGAGGCGTGCCCTTTGGCTTGGTTGGCATCCTGGCCATGGTCGAACCGAACCCAATCGACGAGCATCGTTCTGAAGGAAAGAGAAGAGAGAGGGTCGGACCAACCCCCCCGCCGGGCTAACATGTTGTCCGCTCGGCTGGGATTAGGAGGTGGAAGATGGACCCCAAAACCCCGTCCTGGGCCTAGTCAGAAACCCCGTCGGGACAGGCGAGACGGCGGGTTGTGCGCATCAGCGAAACCCGGCGGGGGGGGGCTAGTACAAAGACGGGAATGCGATTCGATCATCATCATCCTCCTCCTCCTCCTCCTCATCACCATCCTCCTCCTACTCCATCCCCGCTCCGTTCCCGTCCCATGGGATCCCATTCCGTCTTGCCATGATTTTGTCCCGGCGCTAATCATCTACCGACGCGCCTCTGCTGCTGCTGCTACTACCTCCATGAATGTATTTTTTGGAGAAGGGTTAAACCGTACGCGCGTCGACACAATGGCTAGCTTTTTACTACATAGTATATAGGAACCCCATTGAGGTCCTGTTTCGCAACCGAGACAGGGGAAACCAGTTTCCAAGCAGCCCACTACTCACACACACACACACACACACACTCACACTCACTCTCACTCACCGACACCTGGAAAACGACGGTACGCATTACCCTGGAACCGGGCCATCGGCACACGGTTCTTGTCCCCTCTGCCTCTGCCTCTGCCTCTCCTTCCCTTCGAGGAACATCCCTGTCGCGCGCGTGTCGAAGCCACCTCCACCAACCTGCAGGAAAGCCAAGAATCGGCCGAGAGGACCAACGGCAGACGAGCACATTGTCATCGTCACCGCAAACCAACCAGCTCCTTCCCGGCACTCTCTCAACCTTCGTCGGCGTCGTCCCTCAAACGGCCTTGGGAGAGACGTGCGTCTTGTCGTCACTGACAAAAAAAAGAGAGAGGCGATATAAATACATGTTGCACCAGTCGTCGTCGTCGTCTTGAAAGAAAATCAGCATCAGCACCCCACTCAACGATATTCCTACTCTAGGTAATTCTCGTCACGTCCCGTCTCGTCCCATCTCTGTCTCCATCGTCTCGAATTCTGTCCGACGTCCACCACCCCCACAGGCCCCTGTGTTCCGTCCACAGAAACACTCACAACAGAGGGCAGAGAAAGGACAGAATACCATAGTCGGAGCTGTAGTGCGTGCGCAAAGCGCAGCAGCAGCAGCAGCAGCAGCAGTAGCATCAACAGCACCAGCACGTCGACAGCTACTGCATGTGCTGGCGATACTTCGGTTCCGTGTTTGCGACCCTGTACGTATGAAACCGAATCAACCCGGCACTACCAAGCCCACCACCGCCCGCACGTGTTACCCCCCTAATCCCAATTGAAGCTTAAACCTCCTCTCCAGTGAGCTCTCCTTTGTCCTTGCCTTACATAACCCGACCCTTACCTTGAGCTCATAGACATTTATCTGCTCTTGTTTTTCGCTGGGTTTACTGTCTACATCGCTGCTCGCTGGGTTTCTTGTTCTCCCCGCCGCGGAAAACCATTAATTACAACCAACACCCTCCCAAAAGAAAAAAGCATCGCCGCCACCTCACCCCACAGGCACAGCACCGCCGGACGAGAGCCCAACTAACACCCCGCTCCATCATGGCCGGTCCCCCGTGGCGAGCATTCCTCGTCGGCTCCGCGGCCGTCACCGTCTTGCTGGCACTGCGCCAGCCCGTCTTCTCGAGATGTAACCTCCTCTGCGCCTTCCTCGGCCTCTTCGCCTTTCAAATCTTCGCGTGGACCGTATTCGTCGTCCTCTTGTTCCCTCAGTACTTCTCCAGCCTCCGCTCGCTCCCGGGGCCCAAGGACGACCACTGGTTGATGGGGCAGGGCCTGAGGATCATGCGCGAGCCGACCGGCGTGCCCATGATTGACTGGTGAGTTCTCCAACGAACCACCCTCTGATTTGAATCGGTTGGCGGGGCCGGCCGCCATGGCGATCGAACCCGCAGCCGTCGCGCGTGTGGCGTCGTGACGACGGACGGAAACACTCACTAAGCGTGTGCGCCGCAGGGTCAACAACATCCCCCACGAGGGCGTCATCCGCTACCGCGGTCTGTTCAACCAGGAGCGCCTCCTGATCACGTCGCCCAAGGCCCTCGCCGAGGTGCTCGTCACGCACAACTACGACTTCCGCAAGCCCGGCGCCGTCCGCTCCTCCATCGGCCGCATCCTCGGCATCGGCGTGCTGCTGGCCGAGGGCGATGAGCACAAGGTCCAGCGCAAGAACCTCATGCCCGCCTTCGCCTTCCGCCACGTCAAGGACCTGTACCCCCTCTTCTGGAGCAAGGCCTGCGAGGGCGTCGAGGCCATCACCGAGGCCGTCCACGCCGAGGCCGCCAACGGCCCGCCAGAGGGGCTCTCCGACCCCGAAAAGGCGGCCCTGGGCCCCGACACCGCCGTCCTGGAGATCGGCAGCTGGGCCTCGCGCACCACGCTCGACATCATCGGCATGGCCGGCATGGGCCGCGACTTCGGCGCCATCCGCGACCCGTCAAACCCGCTGGCCCAGACGTACAAGCAGGTGTTCAAGCCGAGCCGCCAGGCCCAGCTGCTCACCCTGCTGGGCATGCTCCTCCCCGGCCCCCTCGTCCACCACCTGCCCTTCCAGCGCAACGGCGACATCGCCAAGGCCGCCGACACCATCCGCACCACCTGCCGCGAGCTCATCCGCGAGAAGCAGGACAAGCGAAACCGCAAGGAGCTCACCGACATTGACATCCTCTCCGTCGCCCTCGAGTCGGGCTACTTCACCGAGGAGAACCTCGTCGACCAGATGATGACCTTCCTCGCCGCCGGCCACGAGACCACGGCCGCCGCCATGATGTGGGCCGTCTACTGCCTCTGCCTGCACCCGGACGTCCAGACCCGGCTCCGCCGCGAGATCCGCGAGCGCCTCCCCGCCCCCGGCACCCCCGGCGACATCACCGCCCTCGACATCGACCACATGCCCTACCTCAACGCCGTCTGCAACGAGGTCCTCCGCTTCTACTCCCCGGTGCCCATGACCCTGCGCGAGGCCGCCGTCGACACCGTCATCGACGGCAACAAGGTGCCCAAGGGCACCCGCATCATGCTCTGCCCGTGGGCCACCAACAAGGACACCTCCCTGTGGGGAAGCGACGCCGGCCGCTTCGACCCGGAGCGCTGGCTGGTTCCCGGCGGCGGCGGCGACAACAATGACGACGAGACGAACGCCGCCGCCGCCGCCGCGTCCGCCGAGAGGAAGCGCTCGGCCGCCAGCGGCGGCGCCACGAGCAACTACGCCTTCATGACGTTCCTGCACGGCCCGCGCAGCTGCATCGGCCAGGGCTTCGCAAAGGCCGAGTTCGCCTGCATCCTGGCCTCCTGGATCGGCCGCTTCGAGTTCAGCCTGCGCCACAAGGAGGAGTACGACGAGAAGAACCTGGTCATCAAGGGCGGCGTCACGGCCCGCCCGTCAAAGGGGCTGGACGTGTACGTCAAAGTCGTCGACGGGTGGTGATGATGCGCGTGCTAGGGGGGGGGGAAACGACTGGTACTGCATGTAATTAATGACCGTGAGAGCGTGGACCGGCTGGGCTGGGTTTTCCTGGTGTTGGAAGCATCGGGTACATACATGACTACGCGAAATTCAAGAAAAAACAAAACATTTTGAAAAGGAAAAATCACAATAGCATCGAATCGATCCCGACGCGGGACCGACGGACGGGCATGTCTGGAAGATCCCGGGTGGACCCCCCTCTCCCCCCCCTCTTCCCTGGTGGGCGTCGTTTTCCCTGAAAGTGACATGACACAGTTGGCCGGCGGCTGGGGGCATAACGACAACGGGGTCGACCTCGGCGGTTCTTTTGCGTCTACGGCACGAATGGCCTGGGCACACCGGCCGGTCCTACCCTACCTCGTCTTACTCAGCCCCAACCAAGGCAGACTGATCATGCAAACCAGCAGAGGCGGTGGGTGTGTCTGTTGAATGTACCCTTAGTCGTCCTAGATCCCTTCCCCCCCCATAAGCGGTCTAGCCCTGTTCACTCAGTAGATGTTTATCACAACACGTATAACCCGATACGCAGCCCTCTGGCCTGTGCCACGTCTGAGGCGGCGGGTATAATTGGTGATTGTACAAGGAAAAGAAGAGTCTATATGCACGCTTCCGGGCTTCGACTATACTCTCTTGCCCTGCCTCAACAGATCGCCCACTTTGGGCGGCAGCACCAACGCGCTTCTATCGTTCCGTCTGTAAAAGTCCACCACGGCCAGCGCCGTCTTCTCTGGCAGGTCTTCCTGAATGAAGTGGCCCGCCTCGGGGAAGACCTGCAATGCGTATTTGCCTGGTTTGAATCGTCAGTCGGCCCTCTCTCATCACCACACGACAAGAGGTTGCGATCAACTCACCCTGCATCTGACCGATGGTCAGCTCCGTGTCCAGCCTGTCCGTGCCCGCCAGCAGCAACAGCTTCCCACCCTTCGCCTCGAGAAATTTCTTGCTCAGCCCGACGAACCAGCCTTCCCAGAACGGCTGCGTCGCCGAGAGATCCGTCCTCCACCTCCACGGCCGCGTAGGGTCGACCGAGTCGTCGTAGACCAGGAGGGCCGGCACCGATGTCCGCGCCGAGACGGAGTTTCGAATGGTGCGGGAGCGGATGTGCCAGTCGATGCCCGACTGTAGGCTGGCGAAGCCGGTGGGCCGGGTCGACAGGTAAGTCAGCATGCTTTGCAAGGCATCCATCGCCGAGCCCTCCACCACGTCCAGCACGCCGTAGCCCAGGAGTGAGGCCCCCAGCCTCCCCGACTTGGCCAAGTCGGTAACGACAGCACCGCCCAGCGAGTGACCGATGAGCACGATGGGAGGGAGTTCCGGCCAGGACATCTGCGCCTTGGTGAGTTGGATGACGCTGAACAGGTCTTCCGTCAGGATGTTGAGCTTCAGGTTGAGCTCTGTGTCGTTCATGACCACCGTCGAGCCGTGACCCCGGGCGTCAGGAGACAGTATCCCGGCCGAGGGAAGACGCTTCCTGATTTCCGCCGAGAGGACGGCAAACGACAGACCCGACGAGCCGGCACCGTGATGCATGACGAAGAGGGGACCCTTGCCAACAGGCGAGTTGAGGTAGGCGTGATAGGTCACGGTGGACGAGCCATCGTCTCCGGTTGTGGGCTCCAAGAACAGCTCCCGCTCGAAGTAAGTAGTCCATGGGATTTGCTCCAGTGTGCGGCCCCGCGATACACTAAAAGCGAATCAGCGTTCTGCCGGATCGCCCCTTTTTTCTCTCTCTCTCCTCCGTGCAGAACCGGAGGGGAGGGGGACGAAAACCCAATGCATCTTACCCTTGCGGCCGAGCGAACAGATTTTGGCTCGGAGACGGGATGATGGTGCCCGTGGACGAGGCCGAGGAGGCCGAGGAGGCCGAGGACGAATCCCCGTCGTCCATGTGCTCCGGCAGTTCGGGGAGTTGGTCTACCTCGGATTCCTCGTCGAGATCGTTGAGCGGCTCAGGCAAGGGATGCATTGGGTCAAGCTTCCGCTTGGCCCAGGCCCGTTGCAACTCACTCATCTTTGTACGGTTATTTTCCAATGCAAAGCGTCGGAAGGCGGCGGTTTCTCCCTCAATGGCCTTGGAGCGAAACGCGGAGGAACTGGTTGTGCGCCGCACGTTCTCGCCGGCCCGCTAGAACGCCAAGCCTCGCGGACAGATATGATCAGGGCCGTGTAACGAGGTGGACGCGAACTATGCCTATTATACGGAAGAAGAGGAGGGGAGAGAGCAGCGAGGCTGGGGATGCCGGCTGGAAAAGGTTGGTGACTTGACTCGGTGGTGGGTGTGATGCGAGACCAAGTTTTGAGATGCCGTTGTGTGGATGACGTTCAGTGGGGTGATGAGGGGCAGCGGGTTTTTTGGCACTGTACATTCACGCTTTAACCCGGTACATAGGACAGTGCCAAATTCGCACCGCACCCAGCTTCCGCTCTACTTCGCTGCAATCAGACCCCCCCAAAGAACTTCGCTGGAAATGGAAGGAAGCCCCGTCATCCCCTTTCTTCCTCACAATTACACGACGACATCTGGAGCCCAGCATTTGAACAGACTTTACCGGAGCTTCGTCGACAGCCTGCCCGCCATCGACACCGGCAATGTTTTACCTCATGCCTTTGGGATAAGATGTATGTGGTGTATTGACTGTGATCGCAGGGCAGAGAGTCCTTTGGCGGAACCCAAGCAAACACCCCATGAGAAAGTTTGACTGCGTACGGTTGCTGATTGCGGATAGCAGTAGCAGCTTGAGTTTTTTTTTCTTTCTTCCTTTTTCTTCTTCTTTTTTTCTCCCTCCTGTTTTGAACAACGAGACGAGGGAGTAAGTCGACGTCGGGAAGTTGGCCTTCGAGCTCGATGCGGGAGAGGGGGGGGAGTTGCCTTGTCCGGCACGTCGCACCGGGGCGACGGAGGGGGCTTGGAATCGGATCCGGAACGAGCAACCACTCACGAGGAAGACGCTACATGCAATCTTGTCTGGGCCGCGGGCTACCTACAAGGCAGTTGCACGTTTGGAGAGAAGCACTTGAGATGCGTATCCAAGGCGGTTCCCCTCCTAGAGTCGCACAGGTACACAAAAACACAAATACGTATGTCGATGGATATCGGCGGCTTAGGTAGCCCTTCGATACGACGATCAGGCTCCACAACCCTCGACGAAAGTCGGCTTAGACTTTTTAGCCACAGGTACCGCGGGCCGGGCAGGGGAGCTTGGGCCAATGGGCCAGGTCTAGACCTTGATGGGGAGACAGTGAGAAAAGACGGTGCCGCTGCGAACAGTATCTGCGCCGCCCTCAGTCATTATTATCTTCATCACTGGGCCGTTGATTCATATTAATTTTCGCATTCCAATTGTAGGTATATAGTATCCCAGGTCCATTTCGCTGCTATGCGCCTCCCCCTCCGAACCCTGAAACGAAGCAAAAAGAGAAAAAAAAAAAGCCTTGCGGTCGTACGTTTACATATCCTCTAGATGTACAGTATGTGGCATGTCTATGTAAACAACTACAGTGGCTCCTCTTCCCTCCCTCCTACCACCAAGGAATGGGAAACGTGTTTTGAGTAATATAGAGAGAGGAAAGTCAGATCAAAGCAGCCGTCGATATCATGACCGTATTTTGCAAGAGGTATAATGTTGTTGCTGATGACAGGGAAACTGAAGAGACGCAAGGAGAGAAAAAAAAACCGAGGTTTCTGCTCGAGATATAGAATAAGATATAAGGAAAGAATAAATAGGAGGATATAAAGTGGCTTCTTTCCGAATCTCTGCGAAAGCTGAGATCCACAATGTCATACATTTCCCACACTTCTATGTTCATTGTCATTCAGGGGCCACAACCGCCTACCACGTCGCGTCGCGTCGTGCCGTGGCTCAAAGCGCTGAGGACAGGCGTCCCCCTCCCTTGCTTTTTTTGTTGTTGTTATTGTTGTAGTTGATATTGTAATTGTTGCATCAATACGCACCCCGGTGGCCGGAACCGCCATATCCACCCGCATTGTAGTCGCCACCCAGGTTGGGCAATGTCGGCTTCCTGTCGGCGATGGGTGCGGCGCCCAGGACGAGGTTCTCTTGACTCGAGTTGGCGTGGTTGTATGGCGCATTGGGCGTCAGGGGGCGGTAGGGGGCGTTGGGACCGGCGCCCAGATAGTAATCCGGAGACTCTGAGCGGCTGTCCTTCTTCTCGGGAACGCTGGACATGGAAAAGGTGGTGCCGTGCTCGGGGTCCTTGCGGTCCATGAGGAGGGAGTTCCGAGCGTCCAGGGGAGTGAGGGTGTCCATGTCGCGCTGCATCTTCTCTGGATGGGGGGGTCAGTGATATGCCTGTAGGTGCGGGATATGGTACGAGAGCAACAAACTTACCCATCTCCTTTCTGCGCTTGCGGTGAGGGTTCTCCTTGCAGCAGGCGATGATGGCGTTCCAACAGATCAGGATAGCGAGAATACCCGTCAGCGCGGACTGGACGGCAATCAAGACGACACCAGTGACGGTTTGGGTAGTCTGGGGGATGCCAAACTCCTCGACAAAGACAAGGATGCAGGCGACAGAAAGCACACGAACGACCTGGATGGTGATGTTGATGACGTTGCCGGACTTGCGCTCAAAGGGGCGGGACCACACGAGGAGGCAAAGCATGAGACCTTCGACGATGAGCTGGGCCGAGGTCTGGGCCATGCCGTGACCGTCGCCGGCGGCGAGGATACAGCCCTTGGCGAACATGTAGATGATGACCGGAACGAAGATCCACCAGTAGTCCTTCCTGTAGGACTCGTAGAACAGGCTGTACTTCATCCAGTTGGTCTTGTTATCGTAGAGGCCGCTGACGTCACCCTCGGCCTGCTTCAGCTTACGAGCAGTGCTCCAAATCTTGTAGGAAAAGAATGCGAGGATGGCCGTGAAGATACCCAGACTGACGGCGGCGAGGATCTTGGCGGCCCACGAGTCTCCGTTGGTGAACTGGAAGATGCAGTACAATACCCAGATGCTGTAGAGCAGCATGATGAGTGAGGTGATGGCGCGAGCGATGGATCCCCAGTAGTGCTCACGGAAACCCGAGAGGCTCTTGGGGAAGCTGCCGAAGAGGGCCCAGAACTCGAGGATGACCTTGACGAGGAGAATGCCAACAATGATGGCGGCGATGACGATGGCGACGATCAGGAGGACGGTCATGAAGGTGTTGGACTTGGGCACGCTGAGGGTGTTGACGAAGGCCGTGATGCCCTGAACCTTCTGCTTGATGGTAGAGATGGGGTCGTCGGAGTCGCTGGACCCAGACGCCGTGCCGTTGACGGTCGTCTCGATCTCTCTCAAGACAAGGGAATGGAAGGCCTCAATGGCGCGCTTGGTCTTGAATAGGGCGCTGCCACCGTCGACGGTGGAGCCGTCCGCGAGGATGAGGGTGGTGTTCTTGAGAACCTGGACGCTGTCCTTGCTAAGGTCACCGCCGGTCATTGCACGAAAGTTGTCGATGGAGATCTGCATGTCAGTCCAGGGGATGAGGCCGGTGGAGAAGCCAACGTTCTGGACGAAGCTGCTGTAGACGGGAGGGTAGCTGACGGAGAGCATGCCGTTCATTGCCATGCTCTGGAACCATCCAAAGACCTCGGTGAAGCTGGGACTGATCGTGCCTGCACCACCGGTGGCGCCGCCACCACCGAGGGCAGCGCTACCTCCAGCGAGCGCGGAGCCGGCGGCTGACACACCAGTAGCGACTAGAGCGAGGCCGGCGACGCCAGCGGCGATGTACGAGACGGCAGGAACGCTGGCCGTCTTGCCGTTGGTGACCTGTGACGTGATGCAGGCCACTTCCTCGCTGCTGTCGAGGGCCTTGAGCTGCAGCTTGGCCTGGGCGGCGATATCGGGAATGGCGAAGGCAATGGCGGGAACCAGGCTGGCGTACTGTTCAGGGATCTTCTGGGTACCGCGGGCAGCAAAGGTACCAGCAGGAACTACGGCACGTTAGTACTGTCGTTTTTTCTTTACCTCGGATCGTTTGCAGAACCGGCACCTACCAGGGCAAAGCTGCTCGACGTAGGTTCCCGCTTCGCAAGGGTTGAAGGTGTTGGAGTAGATGGCGTTGCCGTAGGCAGAGACGTCTAGGATGGCCGTCACGTTCTGGGACTTGGCGCTCGTTCCTGCCACGTCGAAAGTGACAGTCTGTTCGTCGTTGTTGTACACGATGTCAACCTTTTGGACGGTGATGGCGGTGTCGTTGCCGCACGTGATGAAGCTGGTCGTCTTGAGAATCGAGTCGGCGAGAGTTCCGGTGGCCAAGGCGGTGGCCAAAGCCAACAGCCTCTTGGGGCCCCAGATGGGCGCGGATCGCGTCATTGTGTCGTTGTGATGGTGAAATGAGATAAAATGTGTGTTGAAAAATTCGTTCTTCGTCGTTCTGTCGGGGATCCAAGGTGGTTCCCACGGCCGTGTGCTGGGGTGTATATCCAAAGACTATGCTTTTTTGAGCCTCTTCTAGCTTCTTTCTCCTACAGTCCTTGACGAGTAATTCCGTCCCTTTCCCAACTATAACAGCTTGGTGTACACTTTGATAGAGATTTGGCGCGAGACGTTTGTTTTGCTCGTCGGGAACCGGGTTGGATGTTTCCTTGGTGGATTTAGGGGCGATGGTGTTGGAGTCGTCGTCGCGTCGGGGGAGGGTATATTGCGAGAGTCGTGGACCAAAGGAAACAACTGGCATGTACTAGTGAAGAAAGATGGGGGTTTGAAGAGTTGTAAGAGGCCAACAAGAAGCAAGCACAGCTTTCTACAGAACAGTACGAAGACGAAAAGGGGAGAGAAGTAAAAGAGGCCTAGGATCAACCTGGAAAGAAGGAGAAAAAAGGCCGGCAACGAAGTGCCCTTGCAGAGGCCGAAGGGTGTTGTTAGGGTGAGCCCGTATGAGGCCTCTTGTACGCCGAGCGAGATGGCGATTCTACGGATCAATTCAGAGCAAGTGTGGTGAGAGGCGGGTGTCGAGGGTTATGGATAAATTGGGATGGAGAGGAAACAGTGAGTTGGTGTCGAGAGAATGAATCAATGGCTGAAAAAAAGAGGCTAAAGTCGTCGGGCGGGTATGTGAAACGAGCGAAAGCCGACGATGTGAGAACGTCCGTCGGTCAGGAGGTGTTGGTGGAGTGTGTGGTGTGTTAGGGAGGGAGTGAGTAAGGAGGGAGCAGAGACAAGACAAGACGCGAAGACGGAGAAGGAAAGGGACGAAGACGAACGAGCGAGAAGGGGAAGCGATTGGCGATCGATGGTTGGCGGGAGACGGGGACCCAAGCTTGGAAGCGACCTCAGCCTGTCGTCTGTTCTCGTCCACGGGCCCCTCATGCAGGTAGGGGACAAGGACCCTGGGATGATGTGGATGAGGTGGGAACGAACGTCTGCATGTCTCCAGCGAGTCCTTTTCTTTCTCTCTCCTCTTCCTCTCTCTCTCTGTCCATCTCTGTCTCTCAGGCGCCCTCCTCACTCGTTCTCGAAAGAGGGTCTCTGTCTCGTTGGAGAAAACAGCCAGATGACGGGCTGTGAGAGGCCGAAGGGTCGCCATCACACACACACACACGCGCACACACACTCACACTCACATCCCCCCCCGTCGCCTCCACTGGGGCGCAAGTTCGATGTGAACCATTGGAACCTCGTCCCTGACTTGTTCCTTGCCTCGCAAGCAGCGTCAACCAGCCTAAAGGCCGCTCGTACCCTTGCCACGAAGGCGCTTGCCCCCACCGGCTCCACCCCCTTGCGCTGGTTCATAAATCCAGTAGTGTAGGTATTGTATTCGAGAAATGCAGTACTACTACCCAAGTTGCGCATAGCAGGTAGATGATATGATGCCTGTACCTAGCCCAAGGATTGGTTCGACCCACGCCGCGGCGCATTGGACTTGGTGTACCCGTATACCTACGGACAGGTACCGTACCATACCGTACTCTCGTATACGGCGCATGAGATAACAGCATGCCATGCTGCGGCTTGCACGTCGCTGGATTTTCTACCCCAAGTACTCAGGGCGCGACATGCCCAAGCGCCAGTGGCAGGCGGACTACCACCTACTGCACAGGAGAGGGGTGCGGCTGAATACGACAGGCAGACGGACAGACTGGCACGGCATAGAGGATGTAGTCTGGTATTGGACTGCCGAGGTGGTGCAGAGGCGGAAAAGTGAAAGTATGATGGCGTAGGTACTGGAAAGCGCCTATTCCCATACAGACATACTACAATACACTAGTGAGTAGACTAAATGAAAAACAGGCCCCATCCATGCCCCCGGCTGGCATCCGTCCAGACCAGCCCGCGGCGTTGCGTGGCCGAGCAGTCCAGAACGGTCCTTGGACCCTCGCAGCGTCCTTGCTCGTGCGAGGAAACAAGAGATTGAAGGCCCGGGATGCGAGCAAGGAATATAGTGTATCCGTACGCACGCAGTAATGCTTGAGAGGGAAGGAGAGAGAGATGGAGGGATACGTATCTTTGGTTCCTGCCTTGCCAGCCATCGAATTACCGTTCGGGCGAGGCGAAGCCACAAGGAAGCCACGCCTCGTCCCCCTCACAACGGCTGGCACACGACGGCGGCGTGGCTTCCTTTTTGTCTCGGGCGTAAACGGTGGCGTCTACCACGTACGACGTGGTGCAGAACCGGTTGGTGGCGGTACGGATACCGCGTACGGATACAGGCATGCATGTACGGATACGGATACACAGGCGGTACGGAGTAGATATTTCTCATCGTCGTCCGCTGGCGAGTGAGTTGGCTGTATTGGTACGAATGTTCTGCATAAACCACGGAGCACTTGGCATGTGTTCCGCCCATTCTTTCTGGTGGATGCTGAAACATCAACGAGGACGCAGTCTCTCGGCCACGTGCCAGGTGACGAATGGCGACTACTGCTTGGGAGGTGGCTTACAGAGTACATCCACAGGCTTTTCTTCCCAGTCTCTACCTACACGATGGACACTACTAGGAGGTCTCCGTACACTACGCTACATCATCAGCAATCGCCGGCCAGCTCCAAATTCTCCCAAGCCAACACTCAGGGGCAAAACCGGTAGTGCACCAAAGCCCCTCAATCCCACGTAAGGTTGTGTAAGCCAAGGTACCTATCGCCCATGCAGCCAGTGACGGCCCTCGCCCTGCATTGGCGTCAGGGGGGGCCCCGAGAGAGGCTTGGCTGCGAGATCGACAGGGGATTCCGCCTGGCCAGAATGGTAGCCACCCCAAGCCCATTGGCTCCCGCGGTTCGAAAGAAGAGAAAAGAAAGAAAAAACCAGTTGAACACCATCATCTGCCTACGGTACAAAGTATGATGGGTAAACCACCTGCCTACTGTACTTACCTAGGTACCTAGGCTTGTATCCGTACGTGTATGGATATCAGTAGGTGCTTGCCCGCGGCGCCACGGACGCCAAAGGACGGCAGGGGAGACCCACAACGGCAACCCAAGCCGGTCACGTACCCCCGCCTGGTATGAAACTGCGCCATCATGAAGAAGGAGGAGCGCCTTCATTTACCAATAACATTATCCGTTGTTATGCCAGAGTCGACCTGCCATGTATCCCATTGAGTGCCAGGTGACCTCACATATCCTCTGACCAATAAGAGTACCACAATCCAGGCTAACTGTCCAATAGCTATCAGTAATTACTTGTAGAGACCCACTTTTGGGTTATGTGAGGTCACTTGGCACTCAATGGGATAGTACGATGTATGTACGTACCGTACCTACCTACATTGTACTCTAAATCAACCAGTATATACGTACCGGTACGTCTGTACACGCCACAGCCAAAACTGTCGGGTCTCTCTCTCTCTCTCTCTCTCTCTCTTCACGGGAGAACGAATGAATGTTAATCTGTGGCTTCTCCATCTATCTACCGCGGACTATCTCGTGTGCTGTGCGATACGGGAAAAGGGTGACGAGAGCTTCAAAGTGGCCGCCCCGGAGCTACGGGAATTCTTTCCTAACCGCTGCCATCTTCATTTGCCCTTTCAGGTGAGTTCAATCTCCAGAACCACACTTTTCTAGGCGGGGGTAGGTAGGGTAGCAGTAGGCCGACTTTGGCTGGCAATTTGACGCTGCCATCCATTTCTTGCCGTTGGGCGGCTCATCGGATGTCGATTGATTCCGCTGACACCCTACGAGATTAACAACACAACCCGAATTAAAAATAACCCCTCACTCCCTCTTCTTGCTCTCTGAGGTGCCCATCTCCCACCACCTCCAGGTACCTTGCTTGCCCAGTTCGTCCCACGGTCCCCACATCACACTCCATCCTGCCTCCAGTACCCATTGTTGCTGCTACCGTGGTGCCCTTTCATATCGCGATACGCTGAGCGAAAGCGCAAGAGCCATCCAGTCTCTACCCTAATCCGAAAGACCGGGGGCGGATTACACCCACCCGCACAGCCTCTTCACTCGTCCGACCATGGCACGCTGCTGTATGTAATACCAGACGGCGGCAAGGCACCGCAAGCCAAGCTAATCCTGATATTTGGCCGCCCACACGGACTGACGGCTCCATGGACCCCCCTTCACCACGCGTCGAGAAGGCTTCGGATCGCCCGCTTCGTTCCCGCCTCAATCCCCCGTGCCGCACAACACACAGACTACGGAGTATCCATTCCCGCGCCTGGTCGGAGGCCTGCCAAGCTGCGTTGCTGCGGTGGTGGCTACTTGCTTAACTGCCGGATCCAGGAATCCAGGAACCCAGCAGCATTCCAGCCGGGCAGAGAAACTATATCTCGGTGGCGCTACGGAGTACACAGAAAGCAACCCGCTCCCACGCTGCTGGGATCTATATGGGTCTACCTGCCTGGCTGCATCTGCCCTTCTTTCTGGTCCAGGCCACACTCATCCTCAGTCACCAGTACACTGTAGGTAGTACACTAGGTACTAGTTTACCGAGTAGTATCACTGCAGACACGGACCCCAGAGCCAAGGAACAATCCGTCCAAGATAGCCCCCATCACCACTCGAAGGGCACGCGGTCCGTGGGCGCCACATAATACACCTCATCATCCTTGTACCTACTTTGTCACCCCTTCCCCGCGTGTGCCACAGGCAGTTTGGCAGCAGCGGCAGTAGCAGCGGTAGCAGCGGTAGCAGCAGTAGCAGCGGTAGCAGCAGTAGTGCCATCGTCTCGTCTCATCAGCTCCCTCGCCAGTTCTCAGTCCGAGTGCTCGACGCCCCCGTCCCCTTCTATGCGTTCGCTTGTACGGATAATAGTGTCTAGTCTAGCTCGGAGGCCCTGCTCAACGCAACATCACGCAACACCTCGCGCATCAGAACCCTCGAGGGGCAGTACAACCTGTCGACTTATCGCCCTATTTTACACTCTTGTCAGTTTCGTCCAAAATCAGCCACCACCCCTTCCCGTCAGAAACCCAAAACCCTTGATTTTCTTCTTCTTCGCCCTCACCCACACGCCACCCCTGTTGATCTTGTCAAAGAGCGGAGGATTGGAAGAGTCCAACACCTAACTCTTGGACGTCTTTCCTCGAAAGGCCCGCCACCCCTGAACGATCTTATGGTCAAACGAGTCTGTTGTTTCCTACCTCCAACTCTACTCTCACAAAACGTCACCGGAACCTCCACCCCCTACATCAGACCGAACCCCTCTCCTTTTCGTCTCGCCATCCGTCGTCCTCGTAATCCTTCGGGCTGAGGTGCCGTGTGCACTCGCCTTGGTGTCAACCCCATCCCGGCTTGTCACCATGCGATTGAAACGATTCCGCGAGCATCATCACTAGCCCAGGCCGCCTCGCTTCCACGATGCCGGCTACCGCCGACCCATTGCCCCCCCACTCGTCAACACTGCTTTGACGCCTCCGGTCCCAGGCTGCCGGGAGCTATCGTGACTCTCCTCATGCTAATCGGCTCACTCGCAAGACCCTACACACAATTCACCATGTCTATGCGTCTTCCGGTCAGCAACGCTCCTAACCACCAGGAAACAACCCTGTGACGGCATCCAACCACGCCACCCCCGCCTGTTCTTGTCCGGCATCATGCCTCTCTCTCTCTCTCTCTCTCTCTCTCTCTCTCTCTCTCTCTCTCTCTCTCTCTCTCTCTCTCTCTACATATACAGCCACGTGCTTTTTCGAACGCATTGCATCTCACACCCACTCAGGAATGGTCTCCGAAGGCAGCAATGCAAGTGATAAGGCCTCATCCCGCCACCTCCGGAACCCTTGCTTCTCCCTCCAGCCTTGTTTACCTTCTCTGCATTCTTGCACTTCGCCAATAACACTCATCCCCGAATCGCTCACACAGTCCTACTTCCGTACTGGCCCGCCATCGCGGTCCAAACTTCATGGGGCCACCGAAAGAAGAGAAAACAGACCACTTATCCGTACAGAACGGCTGATAGGCAGCCCAAGTACCGACAAGACATGTCGACATGACTCTCGACAATCTGAGCGCTCACAGCCCCGGGCACTCTCCGTCACGTCACCGAATGGGAAGCTGATAAAGAAGCCATACCCAGCTTTTCCCCCGCCCACTCTCTTTATTTACCTCATGCAACAGTCTCCATGCAGGATTGTGGGAAGAGTATCCGTACCGACAATCAGGTACAGATCTAGAAGAATCTCCGTCCGCCCCAGGCCCCCGTTCAAACCCACCCCGAGCTATGTCTCTCCCGTCTCGCCATTGCCGGCAAGCCATCCCTTCCTTGCTTTTCCTTTCTTCCTTCCTTCCTCCCTCCTCGCCTGTCCGGACTTGTCCCCAAATCTCGACGGGTAAAACCAATGCGCAAACAGGGAAGCCGGTAAGAAAACGTGTCCAAGGACGGCCGGCCGATCGCCCACACGTTGACATGTCGCACATTACACACCTTCTGGTTCGGCACAACTTTTGTGACGTTCCCCTCCACCCCCCCCCTCCGCGGCCCCGCCTGTCACAGTTATCCCATCGTCCCCAAGCCGTGAACCATCAGCGCCGTGGACAGAGCCCGACGCTGTCAACGACCGAGAGGAGGGCATTGCACCTCGTATGAAGCGGGTCCCCTCCATCTCTCTTCCATATCCCCCCCACCCCTATTCTCCCAATCTCTCTCCCGCTGTCGTCTGCTAGGCCAATATCCCCCCCCCGCGACTGCAACGTCTTGCCTTGGAAAAAACTGTGGGCACGGCGTTACATTGTCCTGCGCGCAACTTGGTTCTTTTGCTATTTCTAACCGCTTACCCGACGCCGAAGGACCCGACAAGTCCTCGGGGAGGCTCAGCAGGGAGAAGGGTGCCACTACGAACCATAAACCTCGCCAAGCCATCTCGCGAAACGCGTACACGCACACACACGTTCTGACTTGTCGCCAACCCCGTCCGTAGAACCTTCCTTGGCAATGGAGACGCAGCCGAAGCGGCATGCTAAAAATGCTTCTCGGGTGGGGGTGCGTGCCGGTAGGTAAGCTGGCTTCCACCGCGACCCCCCCTCCCCCTCCGAGAGCGTAACATCGCGCGTGCCTTGTTCGTCCATCTCACTGTGTGTGTGTGTGTGCACGCGTACGTGCGTGCGCTCGTGCACTGCCGAGCGGGTTGGGGATGCCAATTAATATCAAGGCCTTGTCTATTTGAGAGAGAGAAAAAGGTTTGTTGGTCCCTGCAATGAATACGACTTTGGTAAACATCCTAGGCCGAACATACGTCTGGTTATTGTTACTGTCGTTGCTGTGCGACCCATATCTTCCCATCCTTCCCGAGCATCTCCCTCCGTTGATTGCATGCCGTCACGTCCATTCGAAAAGATAACCAATGCGAAAGGGGGAAGAAGAAAATCGAAAAGAAAAGAAGAAGCCGATCCATATCGGGAATATTCGCACTCGAGCTCAGACTCGAGATTCCGCAAGTCTATCTGTCAGATAAATGCGCTACACCGCTCAACCTAAATCACTAGAGAAAGAGCTTCCGTTTCACCAGTTCGCCATCCTTCGAAACGGTTTAATGGATGCCTTGATGGCTCCGAGTCTGTTATCGGCCGTGACATCGAGATATCGTCAGGGAACGGAGCTAAACACCCATCTCTTACTCGGCTGGAAGGAGGACTGAGACGAACTGCTGTACAAACAAAAGTGGGTATCTAAACACACCATAGATCCAAGTGAATATTTGACTCCCTGAGAGGCCACGCATAGACTGCTGCATGTCCCTTACTGAGCAGGGTAGAAACCCAACCCGTCTGGGAGGGGAGAGTGTGAGTAAGGCGAGATTGATCCCTGAGAGGTGTAACGGTTCTCGTTGAGGCTGCCTGGGCCAACGAGCCCATCGTAGCCCATCGGCACGCTCGTCACATCCGGCTGGTGCAACCCCAGAGCGTTGTGGTTCAGAGAGGGAAAGGGTTCGGTATCCTGCGCCGCCGGCATATACTGCTGCTGCGTTCCCATGTACGACGAAGCGGGCATTGCCAGGCCGTTGGCGTTGTGATATTGCTGGTTGAATCCTTGGGCTCCTTGGTTGATGGGCGACATGCCCATCAAATTCTGGGCCATGGGCTGGCCGTTCGAAAATTGTGAAGAGTACATGTAATCCTGGAACTGCGGGTTGCCTGTAGCGCCGGCGTACCCAAGTTGGTTCGCGCCGTGATATGGTCCGTTGCCGCTCGGCATCATGCCCTGAGGTTGGTAGGCTGATGGTTGCGCAAAGTTGGGAACCCGGGACTGTTCGATTTTGATGAATGCTTCATCCAAGGGTTCACGTGCGCTGAAGGGAGCTCTTGGCGGGGGGTCCTGCACAGGGCTGATAATGGTGTCTGGCTCCAGCTCCTTGGCCGCAACTAGTCGGAGGATGGGCAAGCTGATGTGTTCCATGTGTTTGGCCAGGTGAACTGTCAACTTCTTCCACGTCGGGAACTGCCTCCCGCAGAACCGGCAAGGCTCTTCCTGTGGCTTTTTAGACGTTTCGTGACGGCATTGTTCGACTTTTTGCCATGTTGGGTCAATAGCGCCAGCTTTCCTGAGAGCGGCCTTGGTCTTATTCTTAGGCTCTACGAACTTGTGCTCGCGTACGAGATGCTGTAGGAAGTTATCTCGGCGGTAGCAGGTGTGCCGGCAGTCGTCGACGTCGCAGGTCCACCACTCAAGGTGGCGGTGGCCTTCGTTCTCGTGACGCACCCAGTCAGCCTTACGCTTGAAGATCTTGGGCTCACGGCATCGGTCCCAGGTGCAGGTAAAAGGCTGCACGTCTTCGTGTACGTGCTTCGTCCAGTCGGAGGGCTTCTTAGGCTTCTTCAAGGTGAAGCAAAGCTGACACTCGAACTCGGCCGGAAGAGACTGTGTGGGCGGCATGGGGATATCCCGTGGAAAGCTATCTGAGGTAATGGCACCCTCAACAGGGGTCGAGTCGCCTTCACCGAAATCGTGGCCTGTGGACAGTGGGTCGAGGTCTCGCGAGTCTCCCCTCTGGTCGAGCAGGACAGGCCATCCGCCTCTAGCCAGACAAAAGGCCCCGCAAGAGCAGCCTGAACCAAGTCCGAGGTGTTTCACCTTGGCGTTGAGGAGGCTCTTGTATCGCACAACTTGTTGGTGGGCGATGCGGTCAACCAGGTAGTTGTTGGTGGTTGCTAGGTCCGGGTTGAGGCGGAGCACGTGCTGCTGGAAGCCCGCAAAGTTCGGCGAGACACCTTCAATTAGCTTGCTGGAGTCGGCGTTCATGTCTCCATCCTCACAAGGCTCATCCTCATCTTCGTCGTCGTCGTCTGCGTCAACGTTGGTAGAGCTCCCCTTCGCAAGGACGGCAACGGGTGGGCCACCGCTTTTCCTCCACATGCCGACGAGGTTCGAGTGTGTTTCAGCCGCGCTGGTCTTTGGCAGGTCCGACTTGCTTCTGGGCCTTCGAAGGGTGTTCTTGACCTGAAGGCCAGCAAATGGGCTCAACGGGCTCTTGGGTGATGTAACTGTTGCACCGCCGATCGACCCGTTGCGGGCGTGGGTGGTTCCGATTGAGGCCACTCTACTACCCATCGACACCAGGGCGGTGTTGATACTAGGCGTCTGTGTCTTTGTTTTGCTCCAACTTCCCGTCCGAGCACTAGGTAGTAGGCGAGGCAAGCTCTCGCGTTTCTCAGGGGGTGAAGGCTCCGACTCGATGTTATCGTCGCCGTGGGTGCTGTTGGACCGCTTAAGTCGCTGACTGCTCGACCTGCTGACCAGACCACGCAAGTCCTTGAGAATGCTTGGCCGACGGCCGCTCTCACCTCTGCTGATGGACAGCTTCTTTAACAAACTCCCACTGGTAACGTTCTCCATGTCCATGTCCATGACGCTGGGTAGACTGCGTCTGCGCGTGCCCCAAGTGGGCGCATTGGAAACGATGGATTGGTTGTCGCACATCTGTCTAAATCGAGCAATCGCAGCTTGCGAAGACTCTGGCTGATATGTTTCTGCGCCCGGTCTACTGATTGGGTGTACAAGGGGTGAATCGCCCCAGACGCGGTTGGAGTGCATGATGTGCAAGTCTGTTGCCGTCATCTCACCACCGCGGGCAGTGAAATAAGTCTGACCGGGTTGATGACGATTCTCGGTTCTGTCGCCGAAAGGGATGTCATCATCACCAGCTGTGAGTTCAAGACTAGTATGCAGGTTAGTCGCTTGCGAAGGCGGCGCTTCGACCGGGGTATCATTCAGGCTGTGAGATAGCCATTGATCAACCTCCTGGTTCTTCTTCTCGATCTTGCGGCGAGTTTCCATTTCGTTGACACTGGCTATCTCGGTGGAAGGCCTGTTATCCGGGTCCAGACCGTGGCGGGTGATCGACGAACGTCTCTGGGGTGAGCCGGTTGCAGCTGGTTCTTGACTAGAAACCAAATCGCCCGCAGGGCTGATGCCACCAGGTGCAGTAGGCGAGTTCTCGTCGTCAGGCGTAAAAGTGCGCTCGATCGACTGAAGCGGTTCCGGGGTTTCTCTACCCCACATGGACACAGTCACACGCGGGCTCTGAGCAGTCATTATTGCGGGAGATGGCACGGCACTGTCCTCGCTGGAACGGCCGCTCCCGCTCGTGTTTGGCGTCAGCTGCGGCACAGGTTGTGTGGCAAAGGTAGAAATTGGGTGCGGCTGGAAAGGCTTTTGGAGCTCCTGAGGCGAGATGGAAGTGGGCATCTGACCTGGCACGGACCTAGCAGTCGCACTTCCATCGCAACCAGGTGAGGTTGTGTGAAGCGAAGCTTGGTCGGGGGTTAAGGGATAGGTTTTGGCTTCAAGGGCTTTGCTCCGTGTTTGCGAACTGCTGAAAGCCTGGGAGATGGCAGTTTGGCCGAAGCTGTCGGTAAGGGTTGAGGGGTCCAGAAAGGAGGGTGTGCCAGCTTCCGTTGCGTTGAAGCTGACGCCGAAGAAAGGGTCGAGCCCGTCGTCAATGTCGCTGTAATCGCTCGATTGGTACTGGCTGAAGTTCGAGACGGACTCGGCTGGGGTTTCGCCAAAGTTGGGCGAAAGCGAGCTGCTCTGGAACTGCGACGAGGGCGAGAGATGGTTCCGGTCGAATGAGGTGGCATTCAGTCGTTGTTGTTGATTGCTATTTGGCGGAGAGGGATTGCCGGGATCATTCGCTTGCCCATCGTGGAACGAAGCGGGAGGTACAGCGTAAGTCGAGGCCATGGTGACAACGACGAGGCGTAAGCTGACAGCGAAGACTGGAGTTGGGGTCAATCGAAAGCGCTGGGCCGTCTTGGCGTTAAACAGGCGATGAGGTGCCAAAGCTGAGATGGATCTTATCCCAAAGAACAAAAGGCGCCAGACTCTGTCATGTTCTGGCACGCGATGGCTTGGGTTTGAAGCGGCACGCCGAGCTGGCTGAAGGCGGGGGTGAAGACTGGAGCACGATCAGGCTGCTAGAGGCAATCCGCCACCAAGCTGAAGGTCTGAGAAGGCACGAGACCGTCTGACAGAAGCGAGGCAACGTCAAAAGGCAAATCCGTTCGTGCAGAGATATGCCGGCGGCAGGCTAGGGAGAATCCACAAGAATATTTGTTCCAAGGTGTTGGAGGAGAAGCGATATGGCGGCGTGGGAGGGCTAGCTGGGTTGGTCGTGTCTTTTGACTGGCGCTTAGTCTGGGCGGTCCCCGTCTCTGTATGCGTGACGCACGGGATAGCTAGATCAAGTAGCAGGGGTAGAGACGGTCGCTTAGGAGGCGGGTGCGGTTATAAACTATGAAAAGAGGCAAGCGGGTTTGTTTGCGGTGTCTGGCAATCAGGCGGAGTCGTAGATGTTGGTCGCAGTGAAGCAAGCACTGCCAATATGGAGACGGCGGGACGGCAAAGGGACTGGGGGCGCGCGAAAGCGGGATATGCGACTGAGCATCCGCGATCTCGTCTAAACAGGCTGAGGCTCTCTTTCGGTGGGCGCCGTGTCAGGGGTAAAGCAGCAAAAGACTCAACTCGATGGGCTCGGCTCATGCAGAGCCAGGAGAGGGAGGCGGCAGAGAGAACTTGGGGGATGAGGTAACGGTTTGATTGTGGCAGAGTCGCAAAGACACAACGATGAGGGAGAGGGGGAGTTGTTTGAGTGAGTATGAAGAGAGAAAGAGGTTCTTGGGATGACGAGGGAGGGATGAATTAGGCGTGGGCGGTTGGGAGTGGGGGATGTGATGTGAGTGACAAGACAAGACGGAAATCGATCCAGGGTGGTTCTAGCGTGTGCGAGGATACCTGGTACGTACCGCAAGGCAGCTCAGCTTACAGCGGACTAAGGGAGCGGAAACCAAGTTGGTTGGACACACGTTCCCAGCTGCCTGTTGGTGCTTGTGCTGCTGTACTGGTGCTGGTACGAGGTGTTTCGAGGTAAAGGTACTTTTCCACCTCGGGTGCGACTGGAATTATGATATGGGTTGGCTGTACCTTTGGCATCGGACAATTAGGTAGACTCGGGCGCTAATCAGGGCCGCCGGCCTATCTGCCCTCTTGTCTCTGTTCCCGACCAAACCATTTTTGCTTCTCCCTTGTCAACTAGACAGCTTGCCAGCCTGATCTCGAGTGTCTCGGTGAAGCGTGTATTTACTTGTTGCCAGCAATGACATCCTGGCTCTCGAGATGAGCAGCAGCGGGAGTGCGCCGCCACAACGCTGCCCCGTCTTTCTCCCTCTATCAATTGTCCAAGCACGTAGGTGGACAGAAGACAGAGGAGCAATACAGTACATTGGCCACAATTCCTAGATATGTTGGTACCCCCAAGTCTGTCTGCCTGCATCGTTAGTTCAGACCGGTAGGTTCGGCCGAAGTCTGTCGGAAACCATCCGCGCCTCGTCTCTGCTTCCTTAAAGCCATCGCACGTACCGGCCGATTGTGTCAAATCTACACCAGTATTTCTATCGAGGCCACTTTCTTCCCATCCCGGCTGTTCCGTAATGCACAAAATGACGAGCCAGATGCAGCTTGGACCTGTGACCAGAAAATATCAGAGACGAATGAAGCATTCATTCCTTCTCCATCGAATTTGAATGTACGGTACCTGCCTGTACGAATACCTGCGCACTAGTGCTCTTTCCTTGTTCGACGCTCTGCGGGTCCACATACAGCCACACTAGTTCTGCCCCGCCATTGTGGGTCTTATAGAGGGAAGGAGTGTCTATGAATGGGCGACGATGCACCTTCCACAGGCACCCTCGCTCGTAGGGCGGAATAGTGACCTGGGCGAACCATATTTTCTGAGAAAGGGACTCGAGACACCAGCCCGCGCCAACGAGAGACCGAGGTATTATCTAATTTCTTCCATTTTCGCGAGGCGTTCTCCGTCGTCGGGCGCATTTTCCTCAGCCCCGGCATCACCAGCACCCCCCGTTCGTGGCACATCCCCGCACCAGGTGCAAGCTAAGCATACCGTGCCTCCATCCTCCCGCTCACTCAGATCGTGTTTCTGTTCATCGTCCTTGGTCGCTGGCCGTGCCCTCATATCGTCGCATCCCAAGCCAAGCTACAGGTGAAGCGGCGGTTGCCGCCGCACCGCCTCGACCTTGAGACGACCGCGAACCGACCTGTCGACTCATACTCACCGAGCAGGCGGATGATCCTCCATTTGCGACTGCAGTCGACATGACCATGAAAGATTCATACCGTATCGGCCTACCGTCGAAATAACCCTGCGAATCAAATGTCGGACCTGCAGACACTTGATGTCATCGGGACGGCATCATTATCCGGCTTGACCTTCGAGCATAGTTGCCCAGATCGCATGCCTCTTGGTAGGGAACAGAGGGGGCTAAATACGAGGCACCAGTCTGCGCAGCTACCTAGGTGGGTTGTCGCAGATGCCGACAATTATTTCCCTTCCGAGACGGCCATCTGTATCCTCTGTCCAGCACGAAACACACAGCAATGGCCTTCGTACCGCTCTTGCTTTCACGACTGAGGAAACCGAATATTTCCATTGTCGCTCCCCAGCGGTATAGTTTTCGGTGAGGTCTGCCGGACCATTGTGCACAGCCGCAGCCGCCATGATAACGTTGTCGTTGTTATTGGGAGGAGGACCCTGGGTCCATGGGCGAAGCAGACAAGAATCTTAAGGTTGGCCGGGCGGTGCACCACGCCGACCGCGTGCTTTGAAACAAGCGGCATCGAGGCTGCGCAGCGCCACAACAGCCCCCAATATTCCCTCCCTGTCACGCGTGGACAGCCGGCCACCTTGAACTGCTCCATGAGCCGGCAGGTTATCTTTTTTTCCTTGGGGGTTTTTTTTTTTTTTTTTTTTAGTTTTGCTTCTCAGCTTCTGCGTATGGCCGATCATCTCTCGCAGAGGCTGCTCTGGCGAATAAACCATCATGGTTACGAACACCGAGATCTTCGGCGCCTAAAACAGCTAAACGGAGAGACATGTTGGCACCACAAGACAGGCGCAGCTGCAAAAACATGGTTGCGTCACAGCACCCGAATTAACAACCAAATTTGCAATTCTCTAGACATCTCACGTATGTATGATTTTGCAGCCAGGCACAGTCTAGCGTCAAGAGCATTCAATGTCGACGCACACCAGTTGCACGCAACGACTTACGGCTACTTATTTCATGCCTACCGACGATAGGCCGAGGCGTTTTCGTCAGCGAGCAGGTAGTAGTTGAGCTTCAACACGGCCACAAGATATAAGTTGCGCCGCCATACAGAAAGTGAAAAAAGAAGCAGAAAAAATGCTCTGGCGATGGTCCTGCAAGTCACCTCTCGCCCTGATCAACGGCTTATCTAATCGGCCGCACCCGATCTACCCCCGCCGACTCGAGCCAAGCAATGGTGGAGATCACCTGTCCAGGAACTCTAAACCCCACAAAGCGCAGATCCGTCCACCTCCGGCCTGGACATGGAGCCATTCCAGTCCCGCATCCCGCCATCCGTGAAGACCTGACGACAACACATCTGCTGCCCAATCCGTCGTTGAAGTAACCTTTTTTGACGAAACATCATCCACGCTAAAGAGCGGGATCTCTAGACCGTCTCCGTGCTTGCTTTGAACCAAGACACCAGACGGACCCTGCGCTGCAGAGGCTCAGTCGTCGACCATGTTCCAGGTTCGTAGTTCATCTCGTCCCTGTGCCACCACGTAGCTGCCCGGCCACGGCTGCCGACATGACGGCGGACGGCGACTGCACGCCGCCATGGCCCCGGCCGCCCCGGCCCTCACACATCGGGTTACCGCGTCCTCTCGGGAGAGCCGCATCGCTTACCGGCGTTTTCATCGCAGCCAAACCCCCAAGACCACCTACATCTGCGCCTGCACCGGGCACGGTCAGTCGTCCTGACCGCAGAAGAGTAAGCGTGCCCCTTCCTCCCCCGTCACCCACCATAAACATTCTCCAACTCACATCTCCCCCGCCTCCCAGGCTCGTCGAGATTCGCGCCGCCCAGCGTACCTTTGAGGGTGCCTACATGCGTACCGCACTCTCGCAGTTCTCTTTCGCCCTCATCATCCTCAAAATCTTCACCTCCGAGTTTTACGCCATTGGCGCCCTGTTCGCCGTCTACGGCGCCGCCGTCATGCTCGTCGCCATCTTCCGCCGCCACGAGGGCAACCGCCAGTTCTTCACGTCTCCGAAGGCGGACGCGCACGGCGCCGTCTCCGTCGTCCGCAAGTTCCGCACCTCTGGCAACAGCGTCGCACTGCTCACGGTGCTGAGCCTCGCCGCGTACGTCACGCTGCTGGTCCTCACGTGGCGGCTGGTCCAGTGAGTGTAGTGGCGGGGCCAAAGCCGCGAGGGGGGAGGTGTTCACGGCGGTGTTTTATTGATTTACTCATCTATTCCCTTCACGGCGGGTGATGCAGGTGTCACTTTGGCAAGGTCGCTTGGGGCGCGGGAGTCGGATTCTGCAGTATCGTGCTTCGGAGCTTGTAGGAGATGCCCCCTCCCCTTTTCCGACAAGTGCAGCCAAGATGCCCAATCGCGCGGCATAACTTACCCGACCGAGCGCGGTACCCCATACCGCAACGGCCACAGCTCTTTCTGGAAAAGATATCCCGAGTCCGCCGGCCGGCGGTGCCGAACCAGCGACAGCCGAGCAGCGTCACCCAAGCCAACGGCGTGTTCCCACCGGTGACGGGGACGGGTACATACGCGAGGGCGGGGGACCTATTCCAGATGCAGGTAGGCAGCGTCTGAGAGATGGAGTGAGACATCATGCACGGGAACCGTGCCTTGTCACCCTGCCGTCATTCTCCAGTCATGTCTTGAAGTCGCGCCCGGCCCCATGTATCAGAGCAACGAAACGAGCATCGCGCGCAGGGAAGATAAGGATGAGAGTGGGAACGTGGAGGACTCATCTCGTCGTCGCCCGTATCAGCATCGTGGCAAACCAAGAGGGTGGTGACCTCCCACTGTAATGTGACGAGCGACCCCCCCCCCAAACGGCCACCGTAAGGCCGAGTAGCACGGCAGCTCGAGGCGTTTAAAGGAAGAGGAAGAAAACAGGCCGCCATTCCCCTTGAGGTTTCCCCAAAGCACCGCCAGTGCTTCGTTCCAATTATGAATACAAATGCAACCCACGAGAAAACACAATATCGAGGGGACAACGACGACGTTCATGTCAACTCTCGACGAGATACTGTAACCTACGCGGTCGTCAGAGTGCATTGAGAGGGAGCAATGTGTATACATATATATATATGTATGCATGTATTAAAAGACTCTGCCGAAGAGGTGAGGGAGGGGGTATGTTCAGAATGAGGGGGAGAAGTAGTAAATGAAAAGAAAACAAGCAGAGAGGCATGGGGAGGGGAAGAAAACAAAAAAGACAGTTGAACAGCAAATATTAACCTTTGATAAAATACATTAGAATGAAAACCCTCTGCTACATGCGTGTACCCTCGTGACAATGCCAGATGCCGTAAACCCCCTTCTTTTGTGAACCGACCCCCACGCCCCGCCCCCCGCTCCCCCCCTACCTGGTCCGTCGCTACCAAAAGCCAAACCGTGGAACTTCCACTTCCCGATCCAAGGACCAACAATCGACCCAGTCACACAACCCAACGTCCGGGCCGAACGACGCCCTCGAGGGTAAACCCGAGACAGGCGCCATGGCGAAACCAGCCCTTTCCCCCACCGCTCCGCTTGCCCGGCACGCCGTGGCGCAGCCTCCCTTACGGGCCCCACTCTTCATCCTTCCCGCACCTAAATCCGACGTCTCTCGGTGCGCCGAGAAAGACTTCCTGACGGCTCCGACTCCGAGGTAGACGCAAGAGCTGCGGTGGCGGGGTGGGGTGGGGGGTTTATAGTGCGCTGCTGACGGTGTTGCGGTCGAGTATGCTTTGGGCCTCTCTGCGTGTCCCGATCGTCTCCCAGTGGCAGCAGCCGATTCTTTGCCGAGCAGCAAAAGGTTGCAGCGTTTGTTCCCCTTCAGACGCGTCCATCCGTGGATCGTGGGAACCCCTTATCGCAGACCCTGGCTTGTCCCAACGCCCAATGCTCATATTCGCGAAAATGGGGTATATTCGTTTCGTGTTCCCAAATCCTCCAAGTAGATTAAATCCGTGATGCTTTCTTTCCTTCTGTTATTAAATCATCCTCCCGCCCTCGCCCCCTCAAGCTTTCTTGCGCAGCTAGACGATATTGCTCCCAAGGCGAACCTGGCTGTCGTCCAGATCGCAATGGTTCTGTGGCCGAAATACAGTTGCGCTGTGTCTACATTCCTCTACTAGACGATTGTGTCCAAGATGCCTGTACTGTCCGGGCTCGGGGTAGCTTCGTGTAGCAGCTATTTGAAGCAGGATACGTTTGACAAAAAGCACAGCACCCTGAAAAGAAATGTATCCTCGAGGAGAAGCCGCGTTCGACGCCAGCCTCTCGTGCATGGTAACGCCTAATTTCCTTCGTTCTCTTCGTAAGTCCATGCCTGGTAGCCCTCGTGCGGTCTGGCATAGGTATAGGGCGGCTGTTCCCAAGAAGCATAATCCGAAGACGGTGCCGCACCTGCAGAGAGCGAGGCGTTGTTTGGGTCGAAGTCTGGGAGGTGCGTGGCTATTTGTGCCGGGTAAACGTCTGACATGGTCGACGACTTTCTTCCAAACTGCTGGCTCTGCTGCGGCGCCATGGAGTACTGAGTCGGTAGCGGCGTGTTTCTCGGGTAAGTCATGGTGCTTCCCGGGGCGAAAGAGTAGTACCCCATGTCGCCGGGGGCGTTGGGGTCTGCATTGCTCCAACCGGCAGACGAAGGAGCCTGGGAAGTGTACGGTGAAAAGGACGGGGTGATTGGAGACTGCCCGGTGAAAGACTTCCACGTTTCGTTATGCTCTTTTGGTTGTGTAGAACTAGGACTGACTTCTGGCGATATCCAAGCTACTGACTGGTTCGGATAGCCGAAGGCACGAGAGGGCAAACCTCCAGGCACGCCTGACGATACTATGTTCCGCCTATCAGCCAGCCGGCAAAACTCTGACAATGGTCGGGACTTACTTGCAGCCTCGGTCCCGAGGTTTTCGATGGCGGATGGCTGTTTGGGAGGCGGTGGCATACCTGGAACCGGATGTACCACGCCAGGACGATATTGCTGGCGTTGGGTAACGTCAAGAGACTGCATGGCAGCTACAGCGGGAGAAGACGAGGCAGAAGCGGTGTTGGGCCCAGACGAGGCCTGCGATGGCGCTTTAGGGCGCGGGCCGGTCGTTTGCGGCAGCGGCGGCTGGTCTACGGGGAAGAAGCTGCATTCTTTCTTCAGCCTGATACAGTTGATGCATCTACTCTCACCCATCGCGGGCGATGCTATGCACCGGATTTTTCTTCGACGGCAGTGTCCTTGACGATATCTCCATCAGTACCGAGTCAGCAAGAACCTGGCGCTCTCCGAGACAACCAGAAAAAGGGGGAGGGCAGCTACTTACCACAGGCAACAGAAGTTCTGTGGTAGCCCAGCTTGTTTCTTCTCTTTTCGCTAGCCAGACCAGACTGATTTGCATCGGATATGCTGGTCTGCCGTTGTTTTACGTCAGGCGTGGACATGGACCGTCTCAACTTCAAACTCGCCTGGGAGAAGGATTCTTTACGATCCCTGAGAGTCTGCTCTTGGGTTCTAGGGTCCATCGGTAATGGGATCGGGGCCGTCGCGTCGTAGCTTGGCACGTAGCCGGAATGCGACACGCCCATCCCAGAGCCGGAATAAGGTAGAGGCGGGGGGTATTGGTACGACATTATGGATTCCATCAAATGGGATGAGTAGCAACGGGACGCGCGGTAGCTTTCAAGGTACTGAGATTGGTGATGAAAGACCAGAAAGGTCCAGTGCCACGACGGGCGGGCGGGAGATAAGCGCGGCGGCAAAGCAACTCCACGAGTCCGAGGTATTTGGGGAAAGGGAAAGGGGGGGGGGATGTGCTCCGGGTTGATGATCTCCCCACGCTACCGACTCCTCACGATGGTTGAGGTCGACGTCGACTGCTGGGTCCCGATGCCGTGTGGCTTCAATCCCAGTGTGTTTTCCAGAGGCGCAGGAGATGAAGATGCAGTGCGTATCAAGGCCCCGCGAAGAGATGACGACGGAAGTGCTGACGAGTGAACTTCCAGGAAGCAACAGACTGTGCCTTGTTGTCGATGTTATGCTGGGTACAAAGCAGAGCGGATACGGTCAATGCGGGCACGGCACAAAGCGAGGCCAGGGGCCGACCAATCGAGGCGAGTTGTGCAGTCCAGCCCAGCTGCGAATGCTTGGTCGGCTTTTGAGATTGACTGGCGTCAAAATTGGGTCGGCTTCCCCCAAGTTCTTCCTGCTTTCCCCGTGGACTGATTACTACCCAACTTGGAAGATGACCGAGACTATTTCCTGGCGGAGGCGACTGCAGCTGGAGGATTCTGAAGTGCCCTGCGATGCGATGTGCAACGTGCAGATGCAGCAGCTATAATCGGGGCGTGTCGGACTGACAGACGTTGGGATGTCTGCTACGTAAGGTGGGTGTCGCCGTCGTCGTCGTCGCCGTCGTCGTCGTTGTTGTCGTCGTCGTCGCCAGGGCGAGAGGTTGTCGAGCCCAATACTAAGACCGGTGAGCCGAGGACGGAGAAGGGAAACGATACATAAGCACCGCTTGGAATAAGGCACCAAAGCCGGGAAGGCCAACCACAAGAAGCGATGGAAGAGTGCATGGGGGGGGGGGGGGATAAGTGACGGGGGTAACACTCGAGAAAAGGAAAGAAAGGCACGTACCTCGCAGCTATGTAGGTGTATGGAAGATAGCGACGTTATGCCTCTCCAAATTTAAGACTATTCGCCAGCAAATGTACCAATCAGGTCTTTACTTTCTTGGGCATCCAAGTATTTAGTCGTATGATCGGTGAGGCGTCGACGAGATTTACCAGGCAGGTCTTATAGGTTGATCGTCGAGGCAGCGAGGCAGCGAGCGAATTTGCCAGTTCTTGATGTGAAAGTCAGTAAGTGCATGCCGGTTTTTATTGGTCTTGGCGTCCGCCTTTGATTGCATGTACCCACCCCTTGTTGCTGTTTTTCACCTTCTCTGGGAGACGAGGAGCCTGGGAACTTCGGGTCAGGCTTTTGATTAACACCCTTACAGCCGCTCAGGTCGAGTGCCCAAGACCTCACCGACCCAGGGAGATCAACGAGCAAAGTGAAGATATCAGAGAGGTCGCAAGGGCCGTCGTGAGAGCGGCCAGCCGGCCGGCTGGTTAAGACGTGAGAAGCGTAGGTACGCCACGTACCTTGACGTCCGGCTGCGTTCAAGGAATGCCTAGATAGCAAGTGCAGACACGTTGGGTCGTGGGGATGAGGACTTTGAGGTTCTCTGGGAGGAGCAGTTGCTTGAAGGAGTCGCACGCGCTAGAACTCTCGGATATGTCGTTGCAGGGTCGAGTTGGGGAGGTAGACAGACGATGCGAGTTTATAGAAAAGTCTCGCGGTGATCTCAGCGGTGGCGAAGGGCTTGCCGAGGTCTTCTGGCTTTTGGAGGATTTATCGGGGGGTGCCGAAGTAAGATTTTCGAAAGAGAGAAATCTTGAAAGGGGTGCAGAGTGGTCAGATGCAGACGCTCCGGGCCTTGGTCTGGTCGTCTATTTCTTCGCTTCACCCTGGCATCAAGTGTTGCCCGGCCTTTGCTTCTTAGTCTGCCGGATGAGGATGGAAAGCACCAGAGCAGTTGAACCAACGTCTCGAAGCACAGCAAACCAAGAAATGACAGGGGAGAGGAGGGGGAGTACAAGGGAGAATAGCAAGGGGACGAGCAATCAGATAGAATGAAGATATTGCAGAATACAACCACGAATCACGACGTGCCAATAATACTGGAGTCCCAAGCAAGATCGGCAAGACCAGAGATAGACAGATGGCTTTCCTGGGCCTCAAGCATAATCCTGAAACTGCTTCTCGAGAGGTGATGGCTCAAAATGGTATCTCGGCCTTAATGAGATGATAGTTTTGCGTCGGGTTGTGTACCATGGTGGTTAATCGCATTGATAAGCGCCGGGGATCGAGGAAGCCATAGAACCGGTAGGTGTTCTATCTACCTGTCACCCCCCCTGACACCCACTCCCCTTGCAATATTCACTGTCCGTGTTGCGCATCGGAGAGCCTCCAAGGCCAGATGGTGAACCCTATGGAGGTGACCTTGACCGGCAGCCGCTGTGTTCCAGGCGTCTCATCTAAGGCAGCGTGGTTGACCATTGGCTGGATGTTCTCATTCTCTCCATCTCACCCCATCTCCCATTCCGTGCTCATCTTGGGAGCTATTGTCTAGGGTACTTGAGAGGACAGGGATACGGAGCACAAGCCGTCAAGTTGCGCCCAAGCGGCCCTTTCTTCCCATCCTTGTCCCCTCCAGACTGGGGTCTAGGAAATGTGGGAGGGCACGGAGAGAGGGACTGGGCAACTAGGGTCGGTTGGAGGGGCCGGCAACTCAGATGGCAGAGCGCAAGGCCGGCCAGATGCCAGTCTATGCAGAAAGCGAGTACGGGAAACACCTGCTTCCCGAATCTCGGACGCTCGACATTGGTGGACACCGGTCTTGAGGGAAGCGCCTGCCAGGGGACAGAACCGCTAGGCGGCAAGGCCAGACGAGGTTGGTATCCGTCATTACACTGACGATTTTGACAATTTGCCATTCAGTACCTGTGGATGAGGGAATCCGAGGATACCCGGGCCAGTTCCGTCGGCCTATTTCGTAGACAAGACAGGACATGTCGAGGGTCGCGCGGGGGGGGGCTATCAGCTCTGCTTAACCGAGCCTGTCAGTCGTGTGGATCCTGGCGAGAAAGGCGTCCGAGCACTGCTTGACATGGGACGAAGGGAAAGGGCATGGTAGCTATCCTTGCTCATGCCATCGTGCACGTATGAATAACAGTCTCTCGACTGTTGTTACGTGTCTCGACGAAGATCAAAATTGCCGCATCGTCACATCGTTGCATCGTAGCATCGTAGCATCGTAGCATCGTAGCATCGTAGCATCGTAGCATCGTAGGGTAATGCAAGCAGCAGGTAAGCGCGGTCTGTGCTTCTAGAAATATGGGTTCTGCAAGCTTCAATTCATCACCTTGGATCAGAACCAAGCTCGCTTCCGGCATTCGGCGGTCAGGCGGTTCTTGACCGCTGCCCCGAGAAATCCTGGCAGTTCTGACGCGTCTGTCACCATCCCCAGAGAGAGACGGATATATGTGACCAAGCATTGTCCGTTGTCCACTGTTAAGACAGGTCTTGCCCGGTCGAGGAAAGATGGATGGTAGATGGCGGGTTGCAACCTCACCACGTTCGTGGCCCAAGCGCTCCCACGAGAGCCCGTGACATGACGTGACCCCCAATTCCCTATTGCCAAAGTTTTCAGAAGAAAATCGGCCAGCCACTCGCTGTGCCTATTGGCTCAGGGGTTGATCGCCAAGTGTCTGTCGTTAGAAAATATCGAGGGTCTGGACCATCGAGGTCCCAGAAGCATCGCTGACAATGCGCCCGTATTGAATGACCCTTTCATCTCGCTTTGAGTTTGTCCCCTCTGCAGCAGTCAACGGGTCGCAGGGCTAGCGGCCCGCGGTTGACGCAGTTGCCGAGCTGTCCCGTTCCAGCTGCATGGTAACTGCCTGAACCATTCCATGCCTCAAATCGTCCACTTGTTGGCAACATCATCCAATTATGCAATCCGCCACCATGGTAACATTGAGCCATGACCGCCGCGAGAAGCTGCCACACAGCTTGTCGGGTGATGATTGAGGGGCGCCAAAGCTGGAAGCTGTACCCCCGGCAGACAGTAACAAGAATGTATGGAATCCAAATCTGACCTGAAAAATCATGACGCTGGGCCTCAGTGACCTGTGCTACCATCCAATACGACTTCGACGTTCGGATATGGAGAAGACAAAAGGACTGCAGTCTGCTTCTCGGTATGTGACGCTGCGACCTTGATCTTTAGGCCTGGATCTGCGCCAGGAAAGAGTCTGGAAATGAATGTCACCAGGGCCATCACCACCCACCACCACCACCACCACCACCACCACTCCTAATCAAATGTGTCTGGGCATGCGCCAAACAAGTCGTATTTCGGTAGACATGGAGAGTTGAGACGAACTGCATCTGATGTTGTGACAGCAACCATGCAGCGTCCTGTCGAGGAATGTCATGACTTGCTTCCCGCCTCCAACTATGGTATGCAGGAATCGATCTGATATGATGTGCGACTGGGATTTGCTGTCAAAAACGCTGCAAAAGCCGTTGGTGCTTTGCCCCCCCAGTGTGTCCTGCACCCCGCATTTCAGTTGTCGTTACTCGACTCCTCCGTTGCCGCGCCAGTTTCGGAGCATCGTCCCCTTGAACATGCTCGTCGATCAAACGTTCTGAATCATCCCAACGTCTTCGGAACTGACAGACATCAGACAACCGAGTACCCCTGGAGCTCTGAATAGACAAGAAGCAAGAGAGAGAGAAAAAACCGCACTTGATGCAATGCTATTTTCCTCGAATCGTTCCACATTTCTTTGTGGAGCAAATTTCATTGCATCATTATCAGCTGCATCTGCTTCATGCGGCACTTTGACCTGTTACTTTATGAATATCTTGAGCGAGCCCCTGGTGTCGCCAATTGGACAGCGATGCATTGATGCTGTCGTTGTCGTGGTCCCCGAGGCGGCTTGGCTAGTTGGCTAGAGATGTTGTCGGGGTGGTCTCGTTCGTGGAAGAACTCTTGGATGTTGCCGCCAACCCACCACCA